CACTAGGAGCCGTATCAGATATTCCTTTAAAAATACACGATCAGATCATCCCTATGGACGCTATCGTGACTGATGCTGATTCTTACGCAGCAATAGTCGGTAATGACTGGTTGCAAAAAACTAAGGCCATCTTGGATTATGATAATGATACTATGACAATTAAATGGAAAGGTGATGTAATTAAAGTATCAACCGAATGTCGGAAGACGCCACATCACATCATCAGTATCGAAGTACCGGATATAGAACCCGATAAGGAACCAGATGATGAACCGGATGATGAAGCTATAGAAGATTCTGATGAAGAATACGAGAGTGAAGATGAAACCACTCAAGAGCAGCTATACTGTCATACGCAGTTCATCACCCAAAAGGAAGCCCAGGAAATCGAAGATGGACTAAGGGGAACGGCTCTGATCGAAAACGATTATTATTACCAGTATAAAGAGATCGAGATGGGAAATTTCCATACCGGAACTTTGGATGAGAACCAGCAACAGCAATTTCATGAATTCATAAAAAAATATAATAATCTGTTTGCGTGGAACTCAAACGATTTTGGTCGGACATCGGTGGTCACACACAATATCGATACCGGAAGTGCGACCCCTATCAAGCAAAGGTTTTACCGGACGTCACATCAGAATCAGTTGTTCATCAAAGAGGAAATACAATGACTCTTGGAGGCCGGTTTAATTGTGCCATCAAGTAGTCAATGGACTTCTCCCGTGGTTGTAGTAGAAAAAAAGAACGGGAAGAAGCGCCTTTGTGTGGACTATCGGAAGCTCAACAAAGTCACCAAAAAGGATTGCTATCCTTTACCACGAATAGACGATATGTTGGAAACTTTATCAGGGTCTCGATGGTTCTCGTCCTTAGACCTTGCCAGTGGCTTTTGGCAGGTCGAACTGGACCCAAAAGACCGAGAAAAATCAACGTTCATCACCAGGTTCGGGACGTATGAGTTTACCGTGATGCCTTTTGGCCTCTGTAACGCTCCCGCAACCTTTCAACGTCTAATGGATATGGTGTTACGAGACATCCTGTGGCAGTTCACTGTAGTATACATCGACGACATTAATGTAGGATCAAAAACCTTCGAAGAGCATTTGGTGCATTTGGAACAGGTTTTCTCACGTCTAGAGAAGGCCGGTTTAAAATTAAGTCCTGAGAAGTGTTTCTTTTTTAAAGAAGAACTTCCTTTTCTAGGACATGTAGTGAGCCGAAAAGGCATCCATACCGATCCTGAAAAATTACGCACCATCAACGAATTTCCTATTCCGAAAGACTTAACGCAATTAAGAGGATTCATTGCGCTGGCTTCGTATTACCGAAAGTTCGTGAAGAACTTCTCGTCTATTGTTGAACCGTTGAATAGGTTATTAAAGAAAAATATCCCATATATTTGGGATAAAGATCAACAAGCCACGTTTGAGAAATTGAAGACTTGTTTAACAACGCCACCTATATTGGCGTATCCTAATTTCGAAAGACCGTTCTTATTATATACCGACGCCTCTACTTTTGCGTTGGGCGCAATATTATCCCAAAAGGATGACGATAAAAAAGAACGCGTCATTGCTTATGCGAGCCGGACTCTAAATAAGCATGAACGGAACTATGGTGTTATGGAATTGGAGTGTCTTGCGGTTATATGGGCCGTTAAGCACTTCCATCATTATTTGCACGGACAACGATTTACCGTTGTAACTGATCACGCCGCTTTAAGATATTTAATGAATATGTCGAACCCTGTTGGTAAGCTCGGAAGATGGTTGATGACTCTTAACGGATATGATTTGGAAATAATTAATCGCCCCGGAAAACAACACACCAACGTCGATACGCTAAGCCGAATAAGAGTTTAATACAACCCATATTTTTTTTTATATATATATACACACCGGATTAACGCATTTTTTTGACACCACTTAACGGACTTCCCATTATTGATTTAACGGAATGGATACCACCACATATTATTCATTAATACGATTTTTGACGGATTTATCATTACCAACAGACATGACAAAAAAACAACAAGATGCAATAAGACGAAAAGCCCGATACTTTATTGTATTGAATGATCAGTTATACAAAAGAAATAAAAACAACCCAAATAGACCTATTAAGGTTGTGAAAGAAAATGAAATTGGAGAAATTTTACATTTTACCCATTCGGATCCGCTGGCCGGACACTTTTCATTAGACGAAACTTATAGGCGAGTAAAAGTTCGCTATTACTGGCCGCAGATGTACGAAGACGTTCGTAGATATGTACGAACTTGCGACGAGTGCCAAAGAAGGGGGAAAAATCGACGTGTAGAACCTCTACACCCGATCAAAGTTGGAATGCCTTTTGACAGGATAGGCATAGATATCGTAGGACCCCTTCCCACAACAAAGAAAGGCAACAAGTATATAGTTGTTGCCACTGAATATCTTACCAAATGGCCCGAGGCACGAGCCCTTCCTGATGCAAAAGCCTCTTCGGTCGTGTCTTTTTTCTATGAAGACATAATCTGCCGCCACGGGTGCCCAAAAGAAATACTAACCGATCGTGGGTCCCATTTTGTTAATGAAATGTTAGATTCATTATGTGATGAGCTTGGGGTAAAACATCGATTATCAACTGCCTATCACCCCCAAACAAATGGTCTTGTGGAGCGTTTTAATAGGACATTGTGTGAAGCGTTGGCGAAATTTTCAAATGAAAATCATGATGATTGGGACATGTATGTGTCCTCTGCTTTGTTTGCATATCGTGTAAGAAAGCAAAGCACCACGTGTCACGAACCATTTTATCTCATGTATGGAAGAGATGCCGTTCTACCTGTAGATTTTGCAGTAAAGACTATGCAAGCTGAACTGCATGAAGGAGATTCACAAGATGATTTATTGGCTAGAATACGCATGCTTACTGGAAGAGTCACAGAAGACAGATTGATGACTCAAGACGCCATATATGAAGCACAACAGCAGCAGAAGCAGCGTCATGATGAAAATCTTGTGAGAATATTTTACAAGATTGGTGATCTTGTATTATTATATAAAAGTCAGCTGAGGGGAAAGAAAAAGCTGCAAGACCGTTGGAAGGGTCCTTATTATATTCACGAGGATTTGGGGAACGGAGTTTACAAATTAAGGACATTACAAGGAGACATTTTAAAAACCCCAGTAAATTTGGAACGTTTGAAACTTTACAATCAATGGTGATAACGTAATGCATATATGTACATAATGTATTACAAATAATTAGACCGAAGATCATTTTTTTTTGGGGATTAATATGTTTAATGTTTAATGAAAAAACATATATATATACATTTTTTTTTATCATTTTTTTTATTATTTTTATTATTAGTATGGAACCCTATCAAAGTATCCTAAAAGATTTACTACAAACAACTCCAGTTGAAGTGACACCTTTTCCACTTCCCTATAAACCTAATATGAAGCCTGAAAGAAAATTTGAAATTCTTTGTGATGCTTTGAACCGGATTAAGCATTTTAACAATCGGCTTTTGCTCCTTGTTCACTTATATTATTTGGGTCGATTTTTGGAAAAAGAAACTGAGTCCAGTGTGCAGCGCAGTTACTTTGTGCGACAGTTAACTGCACATTACAGGACCTCTGCTACTAGGATTTTTTATATTTTCGAAATTCCAGGAGCCAAACAAATTATGAGAACTAAAAAGACCAACGTATCATTGCTGAGAGAACTTAACACTCAAGAATATCAAGGTTTAGTTCTGCGAGCTTCGGAAATTTTCAACGGAGTTGAAAATTAGGGAGGGGATGATGTCATGTGATCGTCATGTGCCACTCCGAAATTGATCGATGTTGCAAATGTTTAACTTGATTGACATGTCGGACATAATTAATATGCCGAACATGATTAACATGTCGAACCTAATCAACATGTTGGTTATGATCAACGTATTGAACATGTTAGTCATATTATACATAGTAAATATATTAAATTTCTTCTTATATGTATAATTTATTATAAATATAGGTCAATTTTCTTGTTGTAATAAAAAAGGGAAAAAATAAAGTTTTCATTTTTTTAAGTTATAAAGTGACAGTTTTTATCAAGTGAAATCCTTTATTCGTGTTTGGAGGTATATGCCGACGTACAGCGCTATACAACACGTCTGATCGGATAATTTTGATATATTGTTTAATATATTGTCTAATTATACACTAATTAACCTTCTGCTACCTAACCACATAAATTGCTTAATATTTTTAAGCGTAAAAGAACTGATACAACAGTAGGTATTAATAATACTGTTCATTACCGATGCATTATATAGATAGTATCAAATTACCATTTAATAAAAAATTAAAAATTTTTAAGCAACTCTGATTCTTACTTTTTTTATCAAACTTTATTATTGAAATTTATCTCACGTACTATTTCGCTAAAAATCATTTAAATTAGCTTTTCTTAATTTCGTTCCTTATTTGATAATTTATTGTTTTACTACAAAAGCTTCGACCTCCCAATTGTATATGTATAATGTTCATGATAATGACAATTGTAATTAACATACAAACTATTATTTTGTATATATAAACTACGCTCTTCAAAATTACCCAAAATTATACGTGGTTTACGCGACTTAATTTCTTTTCTAAAATTTCTTTTCTAGAGTATCATCATTTTTTTTCAAAAAAAAAAATAAAAACTATATCTGCAGAAGAGATATAATGATTTCCGATTTCATAAAGACTTCTTACTATATCGTACGATCAAATCCTACCAGATTATAACCACCAAATATTTTTCGCAAAATTTAACATTTAGTAGAAACTCAATTGGTTTCTGTAATTTACATTTTTTTTTTCTAATGAATTATTATTGATTCCATCTCTGCAGCCTTGATAAATAAGTTTCTATTAGAATTGGACTATGATATTAGAAATAAATTTTGGTTTAATAATTTTCGATTCAAATTGAATCTTTCCAACTCGTGGAGTAAAATGGTTACTTTTTATAAAGTACCTTTAAAATAAAATTCTTCAATTTCTTCATAAATATGATTAAGAATAATACCTTTATAAAGTCCAACTTTATCGTATGAATCAGTAGGAGAAATTTCAACGAGTCTAATAAGAGGAATAAATTGACTTAAAGTTTTCTTTAATGCCTCATAATTCTCATTATTCTGCCTATTCTTACTTCTCAAACCAGGAGTTTGTTTAATACTCCATTTAATTAAAAAAATCCAATCGTCAATTTCACAGTCACCTTGTAACAGTAAACTACAGGAGGAAATTTTCGGTCATAGAATAGTCTTGTGGTTTTCTATAGCGTATAAATAAACGCAGTATCAAGGACGAGAACAAAATTTTCTCGAACCTAGGTTGTCCATTTCTTAATTAAATAATTTTGAACATGTTCAAATAATTCTTCAAAGAGTATTTATCTCATCATATGCAACTAGAAGCCCAAGAATATCTTCTCCCGGATACTTTTCAATTCAAGTTCACCTGTGTAAACGTAAAATTACTGAATATTATCGAAATTAAATATTATTGTTTTCGTCAACTTGAATAATAACATTAAAATCATCTGCATTAAAGTAAAATCTTTTGTAAAATATTGAAGTCATTTTACAAATCAAACACAATTAAAATTTGAATGTATTAATTGTGAACTGTATCTAGGGTGTAGGCCGTACATATTCATATTTCTTTTTGTAATTTAATGTAATTGGAACAAACACGTGGTACCGTTGCTATGTATATACCGAATCAGCCAACCTAAGTTTGAATCAGTGGTCGACCATTCCTTTTTTTAATAATTCCAGGCGGAATTACTACGTAATTCTGGCCCGGAAGAGATGCGCTAATTTCACAGATTATATAATTCCTTTTGCGAATCGTTAAAAAAAAAATGGCAATGAAGTAATTTATTTATAAAATCCAATATTTATCATTCAACTTTTTAGACAATTTATTACAAAATTCTCCTGATTTAATTATAAATTTAACACTAATATTTATAAATTATAACTATCTACGTATTTAATTTCAGTTCAAAAGCTTCGATTTCTTCAACTTCATGATTCCCATAATAATTATCTTCTTCAACTTCTTCAACTTCTTCGAATCGACCTATATTGTGATTATTCGTTAAAAATTCATTATTATTCCTTTTTAAGCCTTCATAATAACCGGTATAACCTAAAGAGAGACGATCGTTCTCTAACGCTAGGTCGCCTCCACCAAAGTTGACTCCATTCCCAAGATAATTATAAATGGCACATGATGAATTAACCACGCGACTAATCTTCATATTTTTAATATCTTCATTATTTTCAAACGAAAATATGAAACTTCCCGCAGACGGTAAATATTGATTATATTGGTTATGATGGTTATGACGGTTATGACGAGAATAACCACCATATTTATAATAATCATAATTTATACCCCTATAATTTAAACCGTTATCATCCAAACCATAATTTATACCGTCATTATAATTTATACTGTTATCATTCCATCCGATAGGATTATACCCACCAAATATTTTTTCAGAACCTTTAACTTTGGTTAAAATCAAAATTGCTCCTCTTCCAGCACATCTATTTCGAATAATATTATCTCCATCACGACTTCTACGATAAATAAGGTCAAATTTATAATCCGCATCCTTCTTATTGCGATTATAATTTGGATCTTTTCCTTCAATCCAATTAATAATTATTCTGGATAGCTTTGGCTTGACGATACATGATTCAATTTTCTGGATTATTCCTATTCGTGGAGGTAAAGTGGTTATTCTTGGTAAGTTGCCTTTAAAATAATATTCTTCAATTTCTTCATAAATATGATTAGGAATAATAGCTTTATAAGGTCGAACTTTATCAAAATAATCAGTAGAAGAAATTCCAACAAACCGAACAAGAGGAATAAATTTATTTAAAGTTTTCTTTAATGCCTCAAAATTCCTATTATTCCATTTGCTATTCCTAATTCTCAAACCAGGGGTTTGTTTGATACCCCATTTAATTAGACTATTCCAAACAATAATTTCTTCAATCTGTAAATCGTTCCGTTCAAGCAAACCATATAAGATATCTTTATTTAACGAGAGAAAGTTTTTTGAAGTAAAAAATGGTTGTGGATCTTCACAAATAGATTCAAGACAATAATCTTTTAGTTTCTTACAGCTTTTAAGATCAAATACAGAATGAAGGACAAGAACAAAATTTTTCCTAATCCAATCTGCTTGTTTTTCAATTAAATAATCTTGAACATGTTTAAATAATTCTTTAAGAAGTAGTTCATTAGTTGCAACAAGAAGTTCAAGAATATCTATGCTTGATGTATTTGTTAAATCCACTTCACCTGTATACATATACCTTTTTGTAGAGGGAAATAATTTAAGACATTGTAAAGATTATAACAACGTTTGTTTTTCGTTATATTACATACCTGATAATTATTTTGAAAACAGAAGGATTAATATTTGGTTTTTTGAACTCCATCACATTATTATTACTCAATCCGTCTGTTGAAGCTACAAAAGTAGTTTGATATTCCTTCTTTGAAAACGCATTTTTAAAATAAGGTGAACGAGATCTAAGAATATGAGAGTGCGCACGAAACTCCTTTATATCTTGATTTTTTCCAACCACAATAACTACATTATAATCATCTGAATCATCTAATACTAATGAAAGATCTTGTGAAAGGCTCGAATAAAATTTTGAAACCATTTTTTTTTTCTTTCCTTGTTTTTTTTTGCACGTTTAAAATATTAATTAAACGTGGTTTCTTAAGCGCCCGTAGCAGGTGGCAATAAGGATCCGCACACATTATTTAAGTAAAATCCCGTATATTGTTTCTATAATTTATCTAGCAGATTCTTTTTGATTATGTATGCAAATTGTGACATATTATAGGCGTAAGATAAAAAAATACACAAAGAAAAATATAGAAAATATAAACATTACGAAATAATTAGTATGTACTTGTGTAAAAAAAACCTTAACTAGCTAAAGCCGGTTAACCAAGAGATTTAACTAACAGGAAATGGAATGTCATAGTACTCTCTCGAATGTCATGTAAAGAGATGTTACCTAATTCACATTTTTTTGTTATTTAGTACGAAATTCTTTTTTTATATATGAAACGAACAAGGTTAGTTGAATAATAAAAATTATAATCATGGGTCATACCCTTCAACAAGAAATATTATGTATCAAATAACTTCCACCACGTCGATTAGACTATAAAACGTCTTCTTATCGTGAATAAAATTTGAATCCTATCTTTTAATTAAAATAATTTCTGTTTGTAGAAATCGTTAATCAATATTAATTAGCTTATTAATGAGCAAAAAAAGTATCTATTACTCTGAGTTATATAACATATAATGATGCTTCTACGTTGATAAAATTAATATTTGAAGTTAATACTGTAAAGGATCCGCAGAAAATAGGAATCTGGTTTGGCGTCAAATAAAAGTAAAATATTATGTGAAAAAATTATTTTAAAATAGACTATTTGAAACTTTGGGATAAATATTTATTAATAATCGGTATCAGAAAAAAAATTACTAGTGATCGATATAAATTTGCACCGAAATCATTTATAAATTTTTTGCAATTGGCTCAGGATCACGAATTGATAATGTAACCGCTACATTAGGTCACACACGCCCAAAGTATCACACCACTTTTACCACCGTTGCACAATAGTTAGTAAAAATAATGCTAAATTTAAGACGGGACATGAGAACTTTTTAATATAAATTTTAAATCTTTTTAAATAATTATAGAACGATATAAAAGATTATAGGAGCTGTGACAATAACATTTAATAAATATAACTATTTAAACTGAAAGCTTCGATTTCTTCAACTTCTATATCATCATAAAAAAATCATCTATATCACTATTTCTTGTTACTAAATTTTCATTATTCCCGCTATAGAGTAATGACAAATAACCATAACCATTTTCTAAATTTGAATCACTTCCACCAAAACTAACACCGTTTAACTAATTTTCATTTGAAAATAATGAGGATGCTAAGGATATGATTGAAGTTGTTGTTGAGATTAAGGTTGATGCAGCTCTTGCGGTTGATTCGAATAAATATTGATTATATCGGTCAGGATAATGATAATATATCTAGATAGTTTTGGCTCGATAATGGTTGATTCAATTTTTTGGATTATTCCATTTCATGAAGGTTAAGTGGTTGTTATTGGTAAAGTACCTTAAAAATAAAATTCTTCAATTTTTTCATAAATATGATTAAGAATAATACTAGAATAATACCTTTATAAAGTCCAACTCTATCGTATTAATCAGGAAAAATTTCGACGAATCTATAAGATGAATAGATTTACTAGAGTTTTTTTTATACCTCATAATTCGCATTTTGTTTAATACTCCATTTAATTAAACAATTTCAAACGACAATGTCATCTCGTATAAACACGATATCAAGGACGAGAACAAAATTTTCTCGAACATAGGTTGTTCGTTTCTTAATTAAATATTTTTGAACATGTTTAAATAATTCTTCAAGGAGCATCTCATCAGATGCAACTAAAAGCCCAATAATATCTTCTCCTGAATACTTTTTAGTTCACCTGTGGAAATATATCAAAAATATATATATATATATATATATATAATTTTGAATTATAATAAGCCAACCGCCGATATTCATTAGAACTATAATATAGCTTACCTTAAAATCATATTAAGTTATATTTGGTTTATTATATAGAATCATGTCATCTTTTTTTTGCCATCCATTCATTAGAGAGTGCACTTTTAAAGTATCACGTAAAATTACCGAATGTACTCTAATATTGTTATTTTCGCCGACTTGTTTAGTACATGTTGTATAAAAAAAAAAATCCTTTGCAAGACAGACCGATGGTCTCTTGGTCGGTCTGATCCTACTGCGCCACAAATGAGTAAGGCCCGCAGTCTAGTCCTACAAAAAGCTTAGATTACCTGTTAAAGTAAAATCTTTCGAAAGATTGGAATAAAATAAAATTTTAATTGAAAGAGGATAAGGCCATATTTATATATTATTAATGTAAGTAGAACAAACACGTGGTCGATTTTTCAATATGGTTACGCCATTTTCTATTCACTTTTATTGGCCAACATTTATTTTCTTTATTACACTAAAAGCTCTAAAAGTAATTCAACCTTTAAATACTTTATTCGTTCAATTTCTAATTCAAACTGCACTGCGGCCAGATTTACGTTGAAGGTTGAATTTCAGCGTATGTAATTCTCGTGCGAATTAATGTATTTAGGCGTAAAAAATTGGTAATAAAAGTAATTTATTTATGAAATACAATATTTATTATCCAACTTTTTATTCAAATATACATTATCACCTACTTTTTAATAGAAAAAATTTATTACAAAAGTCCTGATTTAATTATAAATTTAACACTAAGTTAATATTTATAAATTAGAATGAGTAACTACTCTAAAGGCTTCGATTTCTTCAACTTCATACTGATCTCTATAATAATTACTATTCATCAAAAATTCATCATTATTCCTATTTAAGCATTCATAATAACCGGTATAACTTAAAGAAAGACGGTCGTTCTCTAACGCTAGGTCGCCTCCGCCAAAGTTAATTCCATTCCCAAGATGATTAAAAATGGCATATGATGAATTAACTACACGACTAATCTCCATATTTTTAATATCTTCATTATTTTCAAACGAAAATATGAAACTTTCTGTAGTGGATAAATATTGATTAATTTGTTTGGGATAATGAAAATTTTTACGATTATATTTTTTATCGGCATCATCCCAACCGATAGGATTATATCCACCAAATATTTTTTCAGAATATTTAACTTTAATTAAAATCAAAACTGCTCCTTTTCCAGCGCATCTCTTTCGAATAATATTTTTCCCGTCACGACTTCTACGATAAATAAGGTCAAAATTAAAAACAACATCTTTTTTATTACGATTGTAATTTGAATCTTTTCTTTCAATCCAATTAATGATTATTCTGGCTAGTTTCGGCTTGATAATGATCGATTCAATTTTCTGGAATCCTGTTCGTGGAGGTAAAGTGGCTGTTTTTGGTAAAGTACCTTTAAAATAATATTCTTCAATTTCTTCACAAATATTATTAGGAATAATAGCTTTGTAAGGTCGAACTTTATCAAAATATTCAATAGAAGAAATTTCAACAAACCGAATAAGAGGAATAAATTGATTTAAAGTTTCCTTTAATGCCTCAAAATCCCTATCATTCCATTTACTCCTATCGCTATTCCTAATTCCCAAACCGGGGGTTTGTTCAATACCCCATTTAATTAGACTATCCCAAACAACAATTTCTTCAATCTGTAAATCGTCTCGCTCAAGTAAACCATATAAGATATCTTTATTTAACGAGGAAAAGTTTTTTGAAGTGAAAAATGGCTTTGGATCCGCACAAATAGATTTAAGACAGTAATCTTTTAGTTTTTTACAACTTTCAAGACCAAATACGGAATGAAGGACGAGGACAAAATTTTTCTGAATCCAATTTGCTTGTTTTTCAATTAAGTAATCTTGAACATGTTTAAATAATTGTTTAAGGAGTAGTTCATCAGATGCAATTAGGAGTCCAAGAACATTTATGCCTGATGTGTTTGGTAAATCTACTTCACCCGTATACATATACCTTTTATAGAGGGAAATTAATTTATATATTATGAGATTTAATTAACAACGTTCGTTTAATAGTTATATTACATACCTAAGAATTATTTCAAAAACAGCAGGATTAATATTTGGTTTTTTGAACTTCATTACATTATCTATAGTAACCCATCCGTCTGCTGATGCTATAAAGGTAGTTTGGAATGCCCTTTTGAAAAATGCATTTTTGAAATAAAGTGAGCGAGCTCTAAGAATATACGAGTGTGCACGAAACTCCTTTATATTTTGATTTTTTCCAACCAAAATAGTTACATTACAATCATCTAAATCATTTAATATTAATGAAAGGTCTTGTGAAAGGCTCGAGTGAAATTTTGAAACCATTATTATTTTTTTTTTCTTTGTACGAAAGTGGCTAAAATATCAGGTAATATTGGTTTTATTGGTTTTTTAAGCGCCTGTAGCAGGTAAACACAATTTATTTGATAATTGGTTATTCTTATTTAAGTAAAGTTGAATCCAAAAAATACAGGTTTACCGCGCCGTTCCGATCCGCCCGCTTCTAAAAATAGATTTTATTTGTCACCACCATCACAGTTTCCGCAATCCATAAGTATCTGTGAGGACAGTTTTTTTCGTTAGTCAAAATCTATTTGTCACTCACTTAGTTGTTTCCACGGTCACGTGTTGGGACTGATTGGGACGTGTTTAATTAATAAAATCTATTTTTATAAGAAAATCCGGGCAATTACCCTGGATTGCACCAAGGTAGTAAGGTAGTACCTGGGATTTTGACCAAATACTACCCCAGGCGACCGTGATGATCATTTAAAATTTTTGATTTTAGTCAGAATTATCTCTTAATACAGGCTGTAATTTTCAATATTTCAATATTTTTTAATGCTAATTTTTTTATAAATTCATAAATAAAATTCTGGTCTGGGCACAGTCAGACCACATTTTCATATTTATTATAAGAACTTTTTTTTCGGATTTAAAATTAATTATAAACAAAATTAAAATTAAAATAATTTATTTTTATAATTATTTTTTTAAGATATTTGTACAGGTGGAACTGAATTCGGGAGAGAGTATTTAGATAGTAATATTCTTGAGCTTTGAATTGTTTGAACGTGATCCAAAATGACTAGTCACGTGCCATTTGGGTCATTATAACGTCAGAATCGTCAGATGGCCTAGTATTACGTGATCAAACATTGTTTCATAATTTGTAATAGAGATCGGGTAATAGATGGTTTCACCACATCTTCCTCTTTCTCCTCGCTTTCTGAATCTTAACGGTAGAATTAAAGATTATCTTAACCAACTTTCATAGAAGCAACAGAAAATGTATATTCCTTTATACAAAAATTACAAACTACTCACTTATTAGTGATGGAATTAATGTAAAAAACTCTAAAATTATGTGGCCTCAGTTTGCAAATTTTGTATCGAAAAAGTATTAACGCGACTTATAAAGGCATAAATTATAGCAAATAAAAATTACTTAAATTTTATATTTTATATATAAGCTGTTTTTACCGTCTTATACTGTGCGAAAATGTACTGCATAAAATATTCCTGATCAAAGATTGATTACATCTTTTCAGGTGCTGGAATTACATAATATCTGCCGCATTATCCATAAAAGAAAAGAAGTATTGTTATTGGTTCATTTCTACGTAAATCCGGAATCCGGATAAAATTTATTTTATAAATTTAATAAAGCCTAATTTTGAGATCAATTACGGAATAATGATTGAATCAGTTCGCATTTTGTGTAACATACTTACAAATAAAATGTTCGTTAGAAATGACATTATTAATATTTAAATATTTTTTCTTCAAAATGACTTCGATATTTCATATTGGTCTTTCGAAAGATTTTTCTTTAATATTAAATGATGCAGATGATTTTAACGTTATTATTCAAGTTGGTGAAAGTAAAAATAAAAAAGAATTCCGAGCACATTCGGTAATTTTACGTGCTCGTTCTCCATACTTTAAAAGGGCACTTTCATCAGAATGGATTACTAAGGAGAATGATATGATTGTGTTTAGTAAACCAAATATTACACCAGCAGTTTTTGATATGGTTTTAAAGTAACTACATTTTAATTTTATCATTCTGCTAAATTTTTTCGGTTAATTTATTAAATTGAATTATAATTATTCACTTTTAGATATATTTACACGGGTGAACTTGAATTGAAAAAATATCCAGGCGAAATTATTCTTGGGCTTCTAGTTGCATCTGATGAATTACTCCTTGGAGAATTATTTGAACATGTTCAAGATTATTTGGTTAAGAAACAAACAACCTGGGTTCAGGAAAATTTTGTTCTTGTCCTTCATACTGTATTTAAACTTGCGAACTGCAAGAGACTACAAAATTATTGCCTTGAATCTATTTGTGCAGATCCACGGCCATTTATTACTTCAGAAAACTTCCCCTCGTTAGATAAAGACATTCTTTATGGTTTACTTGAACGGAACGATTTACAGATTGAAGAAATTGATGTATGGGATAGTCTAATTAAATGGGGTATTGAACAAACTCCTGGTTTGGGAAGTATGAATAGTAATAGAATCAAATGGAGTAATATAAATTACGAAGCATTAAAGAAAACTTTAGATAGTTTTATTCCTCTTATCAGGTTTGCAGAAATTTCTTCTGCTGAATACTTTGATAAAGTTCGACCCTATAAATCTATTATTCCTTATCATATTTGTGAAGAAATCGAAGAATATTATTTTAAAGGTACTTTACCAATGACAACTACTTTACCTCCACGAAGTGGAATAATCCAAAAAATTGAATCAAATATTATCAAGCCAAGATTATCCAGTATAATTATTAATTGGATTGAAAGAAAAGATTCAAATTATAATGGCAAAAAAAAGGATACGGTTTATAATTTTAATCTTATTTATCGTAAAAGTCGTGATGGTATGTTTAATAATATTCAAAATATATGTACAGAACAAGGAGCTATACTGGTTTTAATCCAAGTTAAATATTCTGAAAAAATATTTGGTGGATATAATCCTATTGGTTGGCATAATAATAATCCTTCTAATAACCGCAGTTTTAATAAACGCGGTTTATATAGTCGTAATAACCTCAACCAATATTTGTCCACTAAAGAAAGTTTTATATTTTCGTTTGAAAATAATGAGGATATTAAGAATATGAAAATTAGTCGTGTAATTAATTCATCATATGCTATATATAATACTGGAAACGGTGTTAATTTCGGCGGAAGTGATTTAAATTTAGAAAATGGTTATTTGTCATTATCTCATAGCGGTAATTATGAAAATTTAGACATAAATTTAGAACGGAATAGGTATGGAATGGAATGTCTTGATGATAGTGATTATGAAATAAATCAACATGAAATGGATCAACATGAAGTTGAAGAAATTGAATTTTTCAGGGTAAAAAAAATTAAATAGTTATTATATTTAATTAAACGTTATTTTCACAGCTCTTATGATCGTTCTATTTATTGTTTAAAAAAAAATCAAAAATTTATATTAAATAAAAGAAAGTCTTCAAGCGTCTTCTTGTGATTATCATATTATAATTTAAATTATTACTAATGTAACGTTACATTATTAACAAATGATTAAGCCAAATATTAATTTATCAACATAAATGTTATATAATTCAAAGTAATGGAAACTTTTTTTTCTCATTTATGAGAAAATTGAATTAAAATAATTCTATTCACGATAAGAAGGTTATGTTTTCGCCTCAATCTCACTTGAGACTCAAAAAATAATTTGATGGGTGTGACCCATGTAAATAATTACTACAATTTTTATGATTCGTTTCCATAAATAAAAAATTCTTACTAGATAATAATAAATTTGAATTAGGTAATACCCTTAAATTATAATGACCTTTGTGAATTATAGGCACGAATACTATGACATTTCCATTTCCCGTTAGTCTTGGCAGTAAATTAGCCGTTAAATCCCTTGGTTATCCGGTTTTAACTAGTTAAGGCTTTTTTTTACACTAATTATTTCGTAATATTTACAAATTATTTTTCTTTGTAAAAAATTAAACAATAGAAACAATATACGGTAAATTGGTAAATCTGTATTATAAGGATTTTTGGTTGGACAACTTTACTTAAATAAGTATGATCCAAAATTAGAAAACAAATTACTAAATTTAATCATTTATGATGAACCTTATCGTCATCTGCTAAGGCGCTTATAAATTAGCCACTTTCGTTTAATTGATAGATACTAAACGTGCGAAAAAAGAAGATTGTAACGTAATTATTGTAGTTGGAGAAAATCAAAATATAAGGGAGTTTCGTGCACACTCATATATTCTTAGAGCCCGTTCACCTTATTTTAGAAGTGCATTATTAAAAAAGGAATTTCAATCTACTTTTATAGCTTCAGCAGACGGATGGATTACTAGTAGTGATAATGCGATAAAGTTCAAAAAACCAAATATTGATCCTGTTGTTTTTGAAATAATTCTTAGGTATGTAATATAACTATTAAATTAACGTTGTTAATCTTTAGTATGATGTCTTAAATTATTTTATTTTCCCTTTACAAAAGGTATATGTATACGGGTGAAGTGGATTTAACTAATACATCAGGCATGAATGTTCTTGAACTTCTAGTTGCATCTGATGAACTACTCCTTAAAGAATTATTTAAACATGTTCAAGATTACCTAATTGAGAAACAAAAAAATTGGATTCAGAAAAATTTTGTTCTCGTCCTTCATTCCGTATTTGGTCTTGAAAGTTGTAAAAAATTAAAAGATTACTGTCTTAAATCTATTTGTCGGATCCACAGCCATTTTTCACTTCAAAAAACTTTTCCTCGTTAAATAAAGATATCTTATATGGTTTACTTGAGCGAAACGATTTACAGATTGAAGAAATAGTTGTTTGGGATAGTCTAATTAAATGGGGTATTGAACAAACCCCTGGTTTGGGAATTAGGAATAGCGATAGAAATAAATGGAATAATAGGAATTTTGAGGCATTAAAGAAAACTTTAAATAAATTTATTCCTCTTATTCGGTTTGTAGGAATTTCTCCTTCTGAATATTTTTATAAAGTTCGACCCTATAAAGCTATTATTCCTAATCGTATTCATGAAGAAATTGAAGAATATTATTATAAAGGCAACTTACCAAGAACAACCACTTTACCTCCACGAACAGGAATAATCCAAAAAATTGAATCATGTATTATCAAACCAAATCTATCCAGTATAATCATTAATTGGATTGAAAGGAAAGATTCAAATTATAATCGCAATAGAAAGGATACAGTTTATAATTTTGATCTTATTTACGTAGAAATCGTGATGTAAATAATATTATTGAAAATAGTTGTGCCGGAAAAGGAGCAATTCTGATCTTAATCAAAGTTAAACATTCTGGAAAAATATTTGGAGGATACAATCCTATCGGTTGGAATAATACCGGTATAAATTATAATCATAATTATTATGGTTATAATGGTTATAATCAATATTTAACCACTACGGAAAGTTTCATATTTTCGTTCGAAAGTAATGAAGATATTGAAAATATGAAGATTAGTCGTGTGGTTAATTCGTCACGTGCCATTTATAATTATCCTGGGAATGGAATTAACTTTGGTGGAGGCGACCTAACGTTAGCGAACGATTATCTCTCTTTAAATTATACCGGTAATTACGAAAACTTAACAAGGAACAATAATAATTCTTTTGCGAATAATTTATATGAAGGTATGTATTATAAGAAACAATATGAATATTATAATAATCAATATGAAGTTGAAGAAATCGAAGCTTTTAGAGTAGTTGCGAAATAAATAGATAATTTTAATTTAAAAATATGGTGTTAAATGATTTTTGTAATAAATTATCTATTAAAAAGTAGGTGATAAATATATATATTTTTGAATAAAAAGTTGATTGATAAATATTTTATTTTATAATAAATAAATTATTTTATTGCCAATTTTCTAACGCAAAGTACTTTAAATATACCCTGTGAAATTCAATCTTCATCAACAAACGTCTTAGACACAAATCTGGCCGCAAGCGCAATTTGAATTAGAAGTTGAATGAATAATAAAGTCATGTGGATCTATTTTACTACTTCAATTTTTTACATAATTTACTATGGTTTCAATTTTTAGATTTTTCTTTTGGTTCAGAAAATTGGTTACGAATAGTTTTAATTTTTCTCACTCCTCTCTCCCTCTTTGTTTTTACTTTAGTGTCTAATCCCTTTGTTCGTTCACTGCTATGGCGACTAGTTCTCAATTAGTCAGGTCGTTCCAACGAAGGGTGGGTCTGCCTGTTAGATTTTGTACACTTAGTTTAGATCAATATTCTTTATGCCTAGTTTATACGCGTAATGTTTTAGTATCTCTCTAGTGTATCTGCCTTTCTCAAGTAAAAATAAAATAAAAATAAATAAATACTTTTTAGTTAAAATAGGAAAAAAATTAATTTAGTAAATTTTTGACTATAAATTTTACTGTTAGCATGTGATTTTTTTTTATCGTCGAAAAGTCATATTTTGCCTGATTTGTATTAAGTTCATTAAAAAATATTTTTATTAGGCGCAAAAGATCCTATCCCAATAAAATTTTTAATTCGATAACAAGTTAGCTATAAAAATTTTATGAAGTGGAGAAATAAAAAATGATGGGACTCGCATTGGGTGGCATAGTTACCCTTCCTTGTTTGATTAAAGAAATTTTTTAGTAAGAAAAATCCAATGTATACCACACTTAATTCCAGCCGAATGTCATAATGCTCAGCCATTTCGGGACATTTTTTCGTGGTTACGCTAGGTAGTCACAAAAAAATAATGTTGAAAATTTAATTTTTAATAAATCATTATACAAATAAAACAAATATAAAAATCTTACTTTCAAATTAAAGCGTAAATAGTTATATACGCATATTTTTTTTAATTGTTAAACAATTTTAAAAAGTTTGATCGTGACTTATTAATGTTTTTTTTTTCTACGCACAATTTGAAAACCAACTACAAAATTCAGACCAATTACAAAATTCAGCTTTAGTTTATGAGTTAAAATTTGATATTATTTATCAAAAGAAATTCAAAATCATATAAAAATTATAATTGTTGTCCATAGAATTGATAATAATACCAACGAAAAATAATTATTTTTTTAAGTTGGTAACACTCACTTCGATATTATGATTATTATTTTGTGTAAGAAATTTTATGTTATTATGAAAGGCGAAAAAGAAGTGACAGGGACGGTTAACTTTTAAAGTGTCTTCTTTATGTTCTGGTAAATATACTAATTAATTACTGTATAACACTGACTCATTTTGGCGTACCCTATATATAATGACGTCATCATCTAAAAATCTCCTATAATAGTACTATGGGTCTGGGTTTAGTTTATTGACGCGTTTTTTTATTGCTTTTACAGTATCTCTATTTGTTTTATTTATATCGGTGTATTAATATCGATAATCGATAGGCGCACAAAGTATTGCGGCTAAAGTCAAAATTACGTCACAGAGTCACCAATTCATTATTAGTCATGTTATGTGTAACGTTTATCGCGTAAATTTATTTTTTACAAATATATATACACCCCAAATTTGCCTTATTTTTCCACATGTTCATATCCTTATCCTCTTTCACTAGGGAAGTCTCTGTGTACAAGAAAACTTCGTTTGATTATATTTATGCAACTCCTCCTTACTTACTCCTTTACGTTTAGCACTTTTGTCTGACTATATTCTCCAACTTTGTTGAGATAATAGTACAAAATTATTTGGTGTCTTATTACGTACTTTGTCTTCAAACAAAAAACGTTCACCCTGATTAAAAAAAATTGCTGTGAACATCTTCTCTGGAGTGACAACTTATGTATTATCTGTTAAGTCCTCCTTTAATGAATCTTGTACTGCTTCTTCAAATCTCTTGTTGATTATTAAAATATCTATACTTATACTTGATACTACTTATTTAACATATTGAAAAACTAGATGACAGACGAAAGTCTCCTAAGAGAAGTTCACATTGAATAGGAGTAGGGAAGACCTAAAAAAAGAAAAAGGAAGTCTTAAAGAAAAAAGAAAACATGAAAAAGAAGACAAGGAAAGTGAAAATTTAAAGAAGAGAGAAGATAAAAAGAGAAGACATGAAAGAGAAGACATGTCTGAGTGCAAAGTGGCTTAAGAGACTTAAAAGAGGTGTGTTTTTTTTTTTATTTTGCAAAGTGAGTAAACTCCTAAGCAAAGTAAAGAACGGATAACTCATTGAGTCGGGGAGTTCCTATGTTTGTCTTAGGAGATTACTGGAATTGTTTGCTTGGGTTGGTGAAGGGTGAATTAAATTTTTATTTTTCAAAGTGGGTAACTCCTAAGCAAAGTAAAGAACGGATAACTCATTTGAGTCGGGGAGTTCCTATGTTTGTCTTAGGAGAATTATCTGCTTTTTTATTATTCTTTTATTTTTTTTTTATACTTTTATTTTTTTTATACTTTTATTTTTTTTATTCTTTTATTTTTTTTTATTTTTTCTTTACTTTTTTTTATTCTTTTTTTTTAATTCACTTATTAACCAACTTAAGAAAACATTCTAACTTTGTTATTGGTAAAGTCTGCTGGTTCTAGAGGAGGAATTGGCTATGTCTTCTTTACCATTAAATAAAAATTTGACACACTATTAACAATTTCTTCTTTCTTATAATAGGTAAATACTGAAATTTACAACATTTGGAAATTTTTTAAAATTATACCTAACTTTATTAGAAATACAGTATGTTAATGTGATTTATATAATTTTTTGTTAAAATTTTGCTAATTTACCAGTAACTCCTTTGAGTCTTTGACAAATATTCATATACATTCAATATTTCTTGCATAGTAATTAAAGATATTGAATTTAAAACTTCTAGAATTGTTTTTTTTACAAATTAAGCTATAATTCATTTGCATATTTCTTTATTCACAAATACATTTATATAATGGTATTTAGAATACATAAAAATTAGATTAAATAAATAAAATCGCAATTTATACATAGTCAAATTTGCCAGTATTAATGAGTTTATAAATGTATAAGCATTTTCAGCTCCTTAAGAATGATTAAGAATGATCACACACATCTACGTCAAATGTGGCTGATTTGCACTTATTTCACAAAATTTGTTAGTTTTTAAAAGGCTAAAACTTGTAATGGTGTAGTTAGCCGAAACTCAGACGTAGATCGTCATGGAATTCCAGGGGATTTTCTGCGATTAAACCGGTTCCAGATGATCATCAATATGTCACGGCAAAATGCGATCTGCATTTTCGATAATATGGAAATCTTTTATCCGGATTCGCGTTCATTTACGTAGATTTACGTAGAAATGAACCAATAATCATGCTGCTCTTTCCTTTTATGGATAATGTGGCCGGCATTATGTAATTCCAGCACCTGAAAAAATGCAATAAATCTTATGATTAGGAGATATATTTTCACATAGTACAGTATAAGACGGAAATAACCAATTAAATATGTAGATTGCAGCATATCGTAAATTTTTACTGGTTTTGATAAAGAATATGGTTGATAGAATTCCACGCTGTAGTCATTATTATTATTTCTTTGAATCTTTTATCATGCAAAGTTAAAAAGTAAAGGATTATTATTGATTAGATCTCAAAAAATTTCAAGACTTTTAAACAAGCCGGAATTATATAATGCCGACCGTATTATCAATTTGTGTAACAAAATTTTATAATAAAACTCGATTATTTTCCATTATTACTATACCTCACCAAAAATGACTTCAATATTTCATTCCGGTCTTTTAAAAGATTTTTCTTCAATATTAAATGATGCAGATGATTTTAACGTTATTATTAATGTCGGTGAAAAAAACAATACAAGAAAATTTCGAGCACATTCGGTAATTTTACGTGCTCGTTCTGAGTACTTTAAAAGTGCACTCTCAACAGAATGGGTCACAAAAGAGAACGGTATAATTATGTTTAATAAACCAAATATTACTCCAATGGTTTTTGATATGATTCTAAAGTAAGCTACTAATTTTATAATTCGAATTAAATAAATTATTTTTGATTTATTCATTATCATTAAAAATTATTATTTTTTAAGATATTTATACACAGGTGAACTGAATTTGGGAGATTATATAGGTAGTATTATTCTTGAGCTTCTAGTTGCGACTGATGAACTACTCCTTGGAGAATTATTTGAACATGTTCAAGATTATTTAACTAAGAAACAAACTGCCTGGGTTCAGGAAAATTTATTTCTTGTTCTCCATATTGCGTTTAAAATTACTCGCTGCAAAATACTTCAAGATTATTGTCTTGAATTCATTTGTTCAGATCTAGTACGACCATTTATTACTTCAGAAAACTTCCTCTCGCTAGAAAAAGATGCCCTCTATGGCTTACTTAAACGAGATGACTTGCATTCTGATGAAATAGTCATTTGGGACAGTTTAATAAAATGGGGTATTAAACAAACTCCTGGTTTAGGAAGTGAGAATAGCGATAGAACCAAATGGAATAATGAGAATTATGAAGCATTAAAGAAAACTTTAAATCAACATATTCCTCTTATTCGATTTGTTGAAATTTCTCCTGCTGAATATTTTGATAAAGTTCGACCTTATAAAACTGTTCTTCCTTATCATATTTATGAAGAAATAGAAGAATTTTATTTTAAAGGTACTTCACCAAAAACAGTCATTTTATCTCCACGAAATCACATTAAATCGAGTATTATTAAGTCAGAATTTATTTCTATGATTCTCAACTGGATCGAAAGAAAAGATGCAAGTGTTACCCGTAATAAAGATGATTCATTATACGAGTTTAACCTTATTTATCGAGGTAGTCGAGATGGAATCGATACCAATTCATGTAGAAATAAATGTAATTTAGGGGACCCAATTTTAGTTTTAGTCAAGTGCCACAATACGAGAACAATATTTGGTGGTTTTACTCCAGTTGGGTTTTATAAGGAGATGAAATTTGGTTATAGTAAGGGAAACAATAGTTACATCTCTTCGCGAGATAGTTTTATTTTTAAAACTTTTGAAGAAAATGATAAACAAAATTTGAAAATAAATCGTGTAACATCATATAATAATGCGATTTTCAATAATTATTCTAGCATTGGTTATGGATTTAATTTTGGAGGAGACTTATATATGAAAGATAATAATTTATATATTGGTAATAGCGGTAATTATGCACATTACAAGCACTCATATTACAAGAATGATTCTTATATGATTGAGGAGATTGAAGCATTTAGAGTGGTAAAACATTTAAAACAATAAATTATTCAAATAAACTATCTTAACTAATTGTTATCTCCTTACTATTTCGCCTTAACTTTTTGCAGAAATATATTTATTTTGATTGTTTCGTTCTTGAACTCGCATCTGATCCTCTGACTTTTTCTTATCAATACTGAATTAACCAGACTCAAATACTCTCATTTTTAGTTTCCATTATAGAAGTCGCTTTTTATTATACAGTTTCTGCTAATTATGAAGATGTTAACCTGCTTATGGATGAGAAATCTTCTTTTAATTGATGAAATTTTAGTATAGAAATTAGAAAGAGATATAAAGTAATTGAGCTTAAATTTTAGTTGTAATTTTAATATTTAAAAATATTGTATAAGTTACGAGAACAAAAAAAAAATTTTTTTATTTTTGTAAAAGGCCTAGGAGCCAGTGGGTATAATGCTTTATTCCTCCCTTTAAACGTGATCTAGATTTTTGTTCTCTATTATGAAGCGCCGTCCTGATCAAAAATTCCGGGTAGTTACCCTGGATGCATCCAGGATAGTACCCTGGATTTTTGACCAACTACCCTGGATGTATCCCTAGTTTACCATGTGATAATCGGGCTGACAATTTGGAATGGATAACTCCTAAAGAGAATACTGAACGTAGGATATTCCAAAATCACGGTTGCATCGGATCCAGAAAAATTGTGCAGAAAATGTTAGACGGAAATGTTGTTCAGATTTGGGACTCTATCAGATTTGCCAGTAATGCACGTTGTAACGGGAAGCAAAAAACTTCTGGTGGCTGTATTATGTATAATGAGGATCATATAGAACCCGATCCAAGTGAAGAATGGAAAGAAATAGAGCTCGATTCACGGAAATTTAGAATTTTATCTCTCGAGAGAATTCAGTTAACAAATGGTGAAATCACTCAAGGTTCATTGCATATAGGTTATTGAAAAGTCGTTCGAAAAGGATATCTTGTTCATCACTTGGTAGCATTAGCATTTTGTCCCAAAGAAGAAGGAAAAGAATATGTAAATCATATTGATGGAATTCCTATCAACGATAACGCATCCAATCTCGAATGGTGTACACGGACCCTATAAAAAAATTGGATACGTTTTTTATAAAGTTTTTATACGATTTTTTTTCCTTAGAAATAACGTATCATAATAGGATACGGAAAAATGCACAATTCCGTATCACTAAAAATATGGTTTGGATACGGAATTTGCACGGGATTTATATGGAATTTACATGATTTGATCACTGATTTTATCACAAAATTTATACGATTTGGTCACTAAATTTACTATTTGTATTACAGTTTACTATAATTGTATTTACATAAATCTAATTTTACTTTATTAAATTAGATAAAAAATAAAAAATAAACAAAGTACAAATACATTATGAAAATTCCCTCCTTATTAAAACCACCTATTGCAACCAAAATTATCTATAAGTTCAGGTTCATTTGGAGTCAAACAACCTAAAAGAACAAAAAAAAAAAAGATTGGAAACAAAACCCCATATAGTATCTGCAATCGTCCAAGTCACCAAAGGTCAGCATTCCTACAAAAAAAGAAAGAGAACTCCAGAATGTCTGACCTACATAAAAGAAAAGAATTATGAGGCGTCTAATGAAAAGAAACCAAAACAACAAAATAAATCCAAAACTGACCTACAAAAAAAGAAGACTCTGAAGCAACAAAACTGAAACAACCTACAAAAAGAAAAGAATCTGAACCCAACTTACAAAAAAACAAGAAAATTTGAACTGACCTAAAAAAAGAAAAAAATCCTGAATCATCCTACAAAAAAAGGACTCCTAAACTGATCTACAAAAAAAGAAAAAAGAAACTGAATATTCTCACAAAAAAAAATCTGCTGGCCTATGAAATTAAATATAAATAAAAAAGAAAGGGGAATAAAGAATAAACCAAAAAAAATATTTTTTTAAAAAGAGGGGTAACGAAGTTAGGAAAGTTAAAAAAAAAATTTTTTTTTTAAAGGGAGGTAGAAAAATAAAAAATTTTTTATAAAGAGGAAATAGAAATAGAAAGAAGTAATTTTTTTAAAAAAAAGAAGAGTGGGAATAAAAAAAAAAATTTTTTTTCAAAGGAGAGTGACGAAAAAAAAAAATTTTTTTTAAAGGAGCGATAAAAAAAAATTTTTTTTCAAAGGAGAGTGATGAAAAAAAATTTTTTTTAAAGTGAGGTACGAAAAAAAAAATTATTTTTAAAAGGGGGTGACAAAGAAAGAAGAAAAATTTAGAAAAAATAACAAAAATAAGACAAGAGAAAGAGAAAGGAAAGGAAAGACAGAAAGGAAGATCGGAAGATCAAACTCATCAAAGTAAGGGTTTATATAAAAAACAAAAAATGTATCATAACAAAACAATAAACAATCATGTGATCTCGTGTTATGATACGGGATTTTTGTAAAATTATCTTCTAAAAATATTCATTAGTTTTTTTAAAAAATGTTCAAAAATGAATTGCTTATTAAATATACGGAATTTGTATATGGAATCTATAGAAACGTACAAAAAATGTATACAAAACGTATCCTTTTCGTATACATATTTCTTATAGGGGGAAAGAAAACACTCAACAGGGTATACGTCTTGGACTTGGATATCAGTGTCAGATTTTTGTTGATGGATCTTTCCGAGAATTTCCATAAGCACAACGTGTTACTGGAATTAAAGCTCAAATATCTGGAGATTTGCAGAGGACTTCATGTTCATGCTACCTAGAGGTTGTATTTGGAGACTATTATCACATGATGTGGCGTAGTAGTCCAGATAGTTCTGGAACATTCGTGATTTTTTTATGAAAAGATTATGTCATTCGTTTGTTCTGTGTCTCCCGTTTGCCTTTGAGTGTCATGTCCATTCGAGACATCAGGGAGACCAGACAATTCTCTATGATTAATCAGGTAATTTTAGTGGGCTTAGACCATTTATCAAAAAAATATGGCTGACAACCACAATAAATAGATATTAACGTATATTGAGGAATCGTTGAAAAATTTGAAAAAAAATGAAATGCAAGATGAAATGCAAGATGTTGTGATGATCGATCTTTCTGCTTATGATTTAGATAATGATGATGTACGTGAAATGATACATGTTAAATATGAAGCTGAGATAATTGGAAAAAACATGTTTATCAAAGTAAGTTTTATTCTAGCTTTCACACCTATAGTACATATAATATAAACTAAATTTCACCGCCGGTTTATATAGTATGACGGAATATTAAAACAAAGAATTCATCGAAAATTAGCAAATTCAGCAGAGGCTCATAATCCAAATTGGGATGTGGATGCCAACGGAATGTGTGTACTGGAGAACCGTGATAGCTTTCTACCCGACGTTGGCATATGGTTTCAAATGCCGACTAAAGCAGAACGGGTAAATCCCATTAAAGAACGATGTCCACTCCCTGATGTGTGGATCGAGGTAAATGTACTAAATTTTCTGGAAAAATGTACAATTTGACTTATTAGATTCAGTTTCTATTATAATCAGGTCTTCTATAACAGAGATCCAGATCGTATTCATGCTTTGGATAATATTGCTTTAGTCCAACAATTAAACTTGGGTATCGAATTTGTCGGAATTTCTCTCCCTTATTCAACCGTCGTTTTCCAGCAAAACCCAAATCCTGGGATAGCTACGACACCTGTGACACCTTCAACAAATCAAAACATAAGGCCTACCAGAGCACCATATATTATCCATTGGAACGTGAATAGTGTTCCAGTTTACTATAAAATGAATTGGAATCAGCACATTGTTCTCAGATGTGGCTGGATTCTTGATTTCAATATTGTCCTTAATGTACTTGCGATGTGATCAATATTATTTTTAAAAGTCTTTATATTATATCTTTTTTGAAGCTTATAAAAAGATTTATTAGAAATGCGTTCATTTTACCGCAAAGTAGAAAAAAATGCAAAAATCATATGTGCGAATTATGTTAAATAAAAATTATACATGCAAATTGTCATTTGGGTCACGACAGTCAAATTGAACGAATTGAGCACCTTCTCACAGACAAAGGTTTCTGATGATTCTGTATCTATTAAAAAATGTACATTCTTGACATCTATTTTTATTTTCATCGTCATTAAGCTAATAAGTCTACTAGCTCTACCAAACATTATTCCTTCAATTTCATCTAGTTCCTGAGCAGAACTTGAAAGGTATTTAACTTCGAGTTGATCCGATATTGTTTTATGCAAATCTTTTGGTTTAAGATCTGAAGTCAAGACATCAAGAAGTAATATTGGGAATGATTTTTTAGTGTCTTTGGACATTTGAAATTTTTTAATATTTAGATTTTATTTGCAGTATTACAGTATTTACTTGGTTAAAGAACTCAGCAGAAATATCAATAATACTGATATATATATATATATGATAAATTATGTATGTGAATTAGTCGCAGTGTACGAAATTCGTAATGTGAAAGGTCACGTGCAATTTGCGCGAATACTTTACAAAGAAAATAACCATTTAATATGGTAAATTTGATAATATTATATTATTATTAAAGGAAAAAAAATCAAAAATGTTTACTAATTATAAATTTATACCTCAATTTACAAATTTACATTGAGATAATTACGCTTCAAAATCAAAATGAATTTAGTGATGGACCGTTAATTTACTGAGAAATATTACATTTTCAATGGTTAATATGTTATCAATTTATCATTTTTACTATTTTATTACGTATATATCATTTTTTCAATTTTATTTAATTAACCAATTCTAAATAATCATCTCATCAATCTTCATATAATCCGTATAGCGCTGCATACAGTACCCCTTGTAATAGTACCCCCTTCAAATAGTACCAGGGTATTATTCAAATTCACATTCGGGTATTTTTGAAAAATACCCCGGTACTAATCAAAATTCGATTTTGAATAGTACCCCGGATACTAATCATATTCCGACTTAAAACTAATCAAAATTTATGTACTAATTTATTTAATTGTAATAAAATCAAATGTACCCCCTTCCAATATACCCCTTTTAATGGTACCCCCTCCTCCTATAGTATCCCCTTGGGTATAGTGCTTCGATCTGGATGAAAACTTGAATATTTTCATGTGACGATTATGGCCGAGAAAGATTATGAATTTCAGATTTAAACAGACTATAATTTAAACCAACATTAAAGTATTATTATTCCAAAAATTTATACTAATTTTGGCCAAACTCATAGTGCCAGCGAAATTTAATGAAATTCAAATCCGGATGAAAATCCGGATGAAACTGCTACGGATCGAAGCACTACCTGGGTACTATAACGAGGTGTAAGTTTTTTTGAATTAAAAAATAATTATCTAACTGCTAACAATTAATTTTTCAATATCAAATGTTCTTAAGATTTCGTGATACTTGCATTTTATTATTATTTTTTTAAAAATATTTTAATTTTTTAATAATTAATTTAAGAAATTTTAAAATATTTTTGTTTATTAAAAAAGGATTTCACCGTCTCATATATAAGTTTTGGCAAAATAAATCCCAAAAATAATAGAAATACAACGTTTTAATACTATATAAATTAAATATTAATCAAATAAATATATATTGGTTGCAAAAATATAATTAGGAGACATGAAGTTATTATTTCTTCGAATAAAATTTATTACAATACTTGCGTTATTATTATTTCATAGGATATGTGAATTTACAGTAAAATTACAATAATCGTTATAGGATAATAAGAGCTCATTTGAATAATTTATTGTTTTACTACTCTAAAAGCTTCAATCTCTTCAATTGTATAAGTACCATAACTATTTAAATTATGTTCATAATAACCACCACTATTATCAACACATAAACTTTCTTCTTCCATATATAAATCACCACTTCCAAAACTAAATCCATAACCATCATAATAATTATTATAAATAGCATAATTATGTGATGTTACACGACTTATTTTCATATTTTGATTATCATCATTATCTTCAAAAGAAAAAATAAAACTATCGGTTGAATAAATATAATAATTATTATTCCAACTATTTGATAAATATCTATAAAATCCAACTGGAGTATAACCACCAAATATTTTTTTTAAATTTTGACATTTAACTAAAATTAATATTGGTTCTTGTGATTTACATCTATTTCTAAATAAATTAGAATCAATTCCATCTATACTACCTCGATAAATAAGATTAAATTTATATGATGAATCATTTTTATTAAGAAAAGATTTTGCTTCTCTTTTATTAATCCAATTAATAATTGTAGGAATAAGTATTGGTTTAATAATATCTGATTCAATACGAATTTTTCCAACTCTTGGTGATAAAGTAAAAGTTTTTGGTAAAGTACCTTTAAAATAAAATTCTTCAATTTCTTCATAAATATGATTAGGAATAATAGCTTTATAAGGTCGAACTTTATCAAAATATTCAGAAGGTGAAATTTCTACAAACCTAATATGAGGAATAAATTGATTTAAAGTTTTCTTTAATGCTTCATAATTTATATTATTCCATTTGGTTCTATCATTATTTTTATTACCCAAACCAGGAGTTTGTTCAATACCCCATTTAATTAAACTATCCCAAACACTAACTTCATCAATTTGCATATCATCCCGTTTAAGTAAACCATAGAGAATGTCTTTATCTAATGAGGGGAAATTTTTTGAAGTAATAAATGGTCGTGGATCTGTACAAATAGATTCAAGGCAATAATCTTGTAATTTCTTACAGCTCACAAGTTTAAATACAGTATGAAGGACAAGAACAAAATTTTCTTGAATCCAGGATGTTTGATTATTAATTAAATAATCTTGAATATGTTCAAATAATTCCTCAAGGATTAATTCATCAGATGCAATTAGAAGCTCAAGAATATTTTCACCTGAATACTTTTTCAAGTTAAGTTCGCCTGTATAAATATACCTTAATAATAAAAAAAAAACGGGAACAATTTTGAATTATAATAAAACAAATCAATACAATTTATTTAAGTTAAAATTATATAAATTATTAACTTACTTTAAGACCATATCAAAAATTAATGGAGTAATATTTGGTTTATTAAACACAATCATATCATTCCTTTTTGTAATCCATTCGTTTGAAAGTGCACTTTTAAAATATGGAGAACGAGCACGTAAAATAACTGAATGTGCTCTAAATTCTTTTGTATTGTTAACTTCTCCTACTTGAATAATAACGTTAAAATCATCCGCATTATTTAATAATAAAGAAAAATCTTTTGAAAGTCCAGAATAAAATATCGAAGTCATTTTTTTAAAATTTTTTAAAAAAATAAAGGGTTTTGAACAAAAAAGGGGCAATATTTTAATATCGACCCATTTTTGTGTCATTCATGCAAAAAATAGTAGTACAAGCCCCTGCGACCATCACGCTTAATTTTAATCGGCAAAATTTATAGTTATACAACATCGTAACTCATCACATGATTACAACGATCGCGACAGAAATCACGTGATGAATTTTCACTTATACAGCAAATCATATTCTTGCCATTCTACATCCATAATTTTTAAGTGCGAACAATAGTAAGTTATATCAACTAATTAAATGAAGAAATTGCCCGCCTCCACTCATTGAATTTAATAACAACTAATGAATATTGTAGATTAACGGCTTATTCTATCCATTTCTCCGACCAGATACCGGATTCATACTGTTCTAAATCTTTTCTTTTTAGTTATAGATGCATATACGGTATTAATTTAAGCTGACTCTACATCACCTCCGTCATTTGCGTCATTAAATAATATCACGCGAAAGTTTGCACACAACCCGGAAACTTAGCTATAAAAAGTCCTTTGCATCACATGTTTGACTTCTTAAGAGTATGATCATGGTACTTTTTAACTTACAACACTTTTACTAACTTCAAAATTTACTAATTAATAAGATATATATCGAATTAGAAAGGTTTAACTTTGTTATTGGTCGACCAAGAAATTTGATAATTACAAAAAAAAAAGGAAATAAAGATAAAAGTAAAGTAAAAAATACGTCTCTATAATATATTTAATAAGAGTATTGATTGAATCCCAAATAATGGTTTTGGATTGACATTAGTTGTAATTCATATTTTCGATAGATCTATTTTCCATCATATTACCTATCATAGCGTCACTGATTTTTCTAATTTTTACTAAAAATTCCTTTTTTATAAATTATATTATTATTTTATTTTTTGTATTTTTATTCTTTTATAATCCTCTAAATCTTCTTGTTTCTCCAAAGCACGCTCCTTATTTATGGTTTCTTTTGTCCCTATATCTTATTTTATTATTCTTTTCTTCTTCACCAAATTCTTTTTTAACATTATTGTAATATTTTTCCCAAATTTCATAGATCATTTATTTTACCGCTTTATCCTGTGAAATCCTATTCAATTTCGAATTAAATAAGCCTCTTAACCTTTCGTTTAATTAGGAAAATATTATGCTTAAATAAATAATAAACTCATACTTGAAGTTTTAACAATAATCTTATCGTTATATTTTGATTTAAACTAATATAAATGCATGGTATTCATTTGAAAAAGATGATCATTATTTTGATGATATTTCAAGTTTCAATACGAAACATTTTACGAGACGATGAGAAAATTTTCGAGATTATTCTGCAAATAAAGTTTCTCTCAAATATTTTAGTAATTTTTTTTTACAATGAAAAAATTGACATCCTTTGTTGGGAATGAGTCTTCTTTAGTTACTACCGCAAAACACCAAACAACTCACTACAGTAATTTATAATTGACTAAAGCTGATAAAATATTAATTTTAATTTTATCAAATGTTGTTATTACATATTTATTTAAAACCCAATTTATTCGGTAATACCATGTTGTGCAGTCAGGTCGCATATCTAAGTACAGTCATGATAGACAGTCATCGGACTCAGATCTCACCTGCTTATTGAGTCTCGAACGTCCAGTAATGAACTAATCGGACTTTCAGACTGAATTTTTTAAAAATTTTTTAAATTTTGTGACCAAATATTACAATAATTTTAAAAATTTATAACTTTTACAATAAAAAGTTATTTTGCCGAATTAAAATAAGAAAATATGTAATCATTTTATGTTGATGTTTTTTCAAAGATAATAATAAGAATCCAAAAAAAAAAAAACAAATTTATTATTAATAAGTATTTCATGGCGCTTTTAATTAGGTAAAGGAATATATCCAATATTTCAGGTGTAGAGCGTCATATTTATAAAGAAAAAGGTAGAAATGTAGTGTAAAAAGTCAAAAAAATGGCGTGAAAAGAAAGAAAATAACGCGAATAAAAAAAAATGTAAAAGGGATGGCTATGTTATTAAATCTAATCTACAATTTTGCTGATATCTGCAAAATCCGCAGATTCCGCAGTAAAATGCACATGACTGTACCACGAGTAAGGATATACTAATTTACAAATACAAAGAATTGTTTTCTACGACGAATATTCGGCTACCGAAATTCAATAATTAATTTAACTAGTTTTATTACGTTTTCCTACTTTAAAATTTTAGATTTGGTTAAAATAAAATATATATACAAAAAATCAAAATATACACCGACAAAGATTGATATTTACCACTCTTGTCATCGGTTTCAAGATTTAATTCTTCAATGTTTCGCTTTTTAAAAAAGGTTGAAGTATTTGGAATTTTTAAACTTAAATTTTGTGATGATGAACTAAATAATAAATTGGTGTCAATTAATTAATTAGGTAGTAAACATTGTACTACCATTTAAAAAAATAATGAAAATACCTTTCAATGTCTATATCAAGATCTTGTTCTTCCGAAATATAAATATAATTAGAATCTAAAGAAGATAATGTGTGTTTTAATATTAAGTAGTATTTTTATTTACAATAAATTTTTTTTTTATTAATACCTTTTTTATTACCAAATGAAATTGATGATGAATTTGTGGATGAACAGTTAGAAATTAAAGCACTTAATGGCCTACTTATATAAATGGCTTCTGAATGTCGTTTTTCAGCAAATTCTGGTCCAAGCTTCTTTGATTGTATAAGTTCTATTCTTTTTGTTTCAGCTTGAATAAATTCTGCTTTATTTTTACCTTTAAAAGCCCATCTACCAAAAGTTAAACGAATATCTTTTATAGAAGGTCTTTTTGTTGGATCAGGATCCCAACAACTTTTCATTAAATTAGCATAACATTCTGGAGTATCTTCTGTAATTTTGGGTCGTTCACCATCAAGAATGTTATAAATAAGATTATGATCATGTTTAACATTATCAAAAGGTTTACAACCTGTTGTAAGTTCCCACATAACCATACCCAAACTATAGACATCAGCTTTTTTAGAAAATGAAGACCCCTTAAATATTTCCGGTGCAATGTAAGGTATAATTCCATATATCTCATTATTTGATGATTCATTATTTATTTCTTGTGATAATCCTAGATCCCCAATTTTCCATTGATAATTTTTACCTGCACTGGTATTTAAATCAAATAACATATTTCCGCTATGAAAATCTCGATGTATGAATTTATTTTTATGAATATGTTCAAGTCTAATAAAAAAAGTTAATACAGTAACTTAAATTAAGAATATAATGAATACATTTTAAAATATACATACCCCTCTGAAATTTGCCAAAATATACGTAGTTTTTGATAATTCCATGTAATATTTGTAAATTCCTTTTGTAAATATTTATGTAAATCTCCTTCTGTTGCATATTTCATAACTAATACATAATCCCCTAATTCAGGATCTTTTGTAAAGCCATAAATTTTAATTATATGATTATGAAAATTTCTATTATAACAATGCTGACTTGATTTTAACTATTAAATTTAAAAAGTTTAATTAAAAGATCAAATATTAAATTAAGTTAATAAAAATTATTCAAGAAAAATATATAAAAGTAGTAATTCACCTCATTTAAGAAACATTTAATATTATTTTTAGAATTTTCAAATCTTTTTAAAATGACTGTTTCATTATTACTTAACCAAGTTGCTTTATATATAATACCATATCCTCCTTTTGTCATTTCTTTTACATCTTTAAATTGAGAATATGGTATCCACATAATTGGTATTATAATATTTTTTCAAAACAAAGCATCTAATATGTCCAAATGCATAAAATATTTATCAAAATTATTTACAATATTTTCAAACTTAAATAAGTTATCAAATAAAATAATATTATTTAAAAGAGAATCATCAAGACAACTGATAAATGATATTCTTTTACATTTTTTACATTGAGTTTGACATGTAGGACCAAAAATAATATTTGTTGTTAAACAATATCTGCATCCAACATAAAATATATAACAATTTGAACAATACTTTTGACAGTCTGATGTAAATATTAATGTTGAATAACAGGCATCACATTTATAAACAGTATACCACCATGGCACGTAACAAATTGAAATTTGTTTTTTAACCAAAGATGATTCCACCCGTTCAGTAGACGTTAAATAACAATCTGAACAAAATATAAATTCTTTTGTAATATATTTTTCTCGATGTAATAATGATTTCCCACATAATTTACAATATTTTTCACTTTTATACACTTTATCATATTTACTATCAGGAGTTAAATAATCGTCTAATATTTGTTTAAATAATAAAATTTTCAAGTCTCCACAGCATTCTTGAATACTTTGTGGTACTTTTGTCTTATTTATTTCATGATCACTACATTCTAAGTCCACTAATACGTCCAAATACAAATTATAATCAGTTGTATCGTTAATATAACTTGATAAACATTTTTTACAATATTTTTGTTTATAACTTAGAAGTGATTGAATATATTTTTCTCCACAACAGATACAATTTTCATCACCGTTATTAAAAGAAATAAATTTAATCGGTATAGGACTAGATTTTAGTCTTGGTGTTGGGTCAAAAGAATTTTCTTCAATTGTACTTACAGGCTCCATTTTGTTATATTAATTAATAAATGTAACAATATTGATAATGAATTTGGAAGTTTTTATATACATATCAGAATGATACATTACTAAAGAACTTTCCATTAGTTGATTTCTTGATTTCTCATGGAAATTTAAAAAGTCCGTTTTAAATTTAGAAGTTACTCTATCGAAGAGCAAATATGCATAATGATATGTAATTGATGGATCGGCTTTATTATTTTACTTGTTTAGTTGAGAAGCATATGATCAACTAGCAGAAGTATCTTTTAATTATTGGTGTAATTTTTAAGTATTTTATTATAGAAAATAATGATGAAACAAATGTGAGACACAAATTAAGTAAGGAATAATAATAGATCAAAAAAATAAATTTTTTTTTTTTTTGTCTAAATGTAAAATAAAATCGAAAAATAATTTTGTACGACCAACCTTCTGTTAGTGATACGGAAGTATTTCTTGATCGTTTCATGGGATTTTAGAATTATTACGGAAAAGTCCATTTTGAATTTAGAAGTATGTAATAATGTAATCGATGCATCGGCTTTATTATTTTAGTTGAGACGCATGTGATCAGCTAGCGGAAACATTTTTTTATTATTGGAGTAATTATTAAACGTTTCATCATAAAAGATAATGATGAAACGAAAATGAACACCAAATTAAGAAAGGGAACAAATAAAAAGTGAAGAAATTAATATTTGAAAAATGATGATTTTGAATAATAATGAATAAAGAAAAAATATCTGTCTAAATATAAACAAGTAAACATTTAAAACAAGTAAAACAGTTAAAAAAAGGGAAATTTCTGACTAATAATTAATAATATACTTATATAATCGCAAATCAAAGCACATTATTTTTGTGGTTATCAATTTTATTAATTAAATTTCCAGTTGTTAATCAGATAATACCTTATTTGGTTAATTACCATTAAGGCAAGCAGTAATATTCATGTGTAATAAATGTCTAAAAAAGCTTAATTTTGTTTTTTTTTGTAATAAGACATAAATGTGCTTTTTTAGACGCTTCTTACACGAACACAAATATAAAACACATTTCATTTTTATAGGAACGGTTCAATGTATTGAAAAGGAAAGGTGAATTTTGAAAAATGTATTAAGTAAGCATGACTAAATGATGATCAACATCCAAAAAAGGAATCCCGACGAGAACAAATTTTGTTGTTAACGTTAGTCTACTTAAGAATTGATTAGCCCGATCAATCAATGGACCAACAGTTTTGTTGGTACACGTTACACCAACTATCATAAAACATAAAACAAATTTGATCGTTAAATTTATATCGTATCATTTTTTATGACAAGATAGAGGTCTGCATTGACCACTATTCTACAACCCGGTCCGGCCCGGGCTTAATATATTAAAAACCTGACCCAGACCAGACCCGGACTATTATTATATCATTTTGTTGTAAAAACAAAAAAAATCGGCCAACTTAATTTTGGCCAGTTAATTTCAGCCAGAATTATGACGATTTTGGCCAGAATTACGAAAATCCGGGTTTAACGAAAATCATGTGCCGGCCCGGCCGGCCCGGGTGAAGAAATTTTGCCGTTCCGGTCCCGTTTGCAGACCTCTATGACAAGATAATCATAAAAGCTAGATAATATAAATAAAATATTAAATATTGATAGATAATTTAACTAATTTTAAAATTATTGATAATTTATTAATTTTTAAAATTATTATTTTTTTTTTTTACGTAATCATATAGTTGAACAAAAATTTTAATTGTTTTATCATGATTAGCATAACGAAAATTTAGTAATGATCATAATAAAAATTAATTTGTTTAAAGTCATTAAAATATTCTTAATTATCATAATAAAAATAGATCTAGATAAATATTTAATTATTATATTGTAATAAAAGAATAATTGAACAAAAATTTGATTGTTTTATTATGATTTAATTACCATAATAAAGATTGATATTTCTATCATAATTATCATAATAAAAAATGGATTTAGATAATTATTTATTACTACATAATAATTAATAATAAAAAAATAATAATAATAAAAATACCTTCTACAATATCATATTGTTGTGTCAACTGTCAAATAAAGTCAAATGAGCTACTAGTCGAAGAATTTGTCAATGGATTAACAAAATATATAGTTTAAGAAAATAAATTTAAAACATTATTTCCTTTTAACTGTTGATATCACTACTTTTTTTAAATTACAAAAAGTTACAAAAAAAACACACTGAAGGAAAATGGGAAACTTGCGCAATATCTCTGTATTAATGATTATGTCACTGGTATAAAATCCTCTATGAAAATTTCAAGAATTATATTTCTAACCAAAAAGTTGTTTTATAATTCCTTTCACTTTATTTAAAAGGTACTACTTATTTATGTTTTTTTGCTTCTAAATGTAAATTTCTAATAATACAAAACTGCTTGTATTATGTATGCTCATTTGTCAAACTTTCATTAAATAAAAAATGCCTTTGCCACTGCGTACAATACTTTCAAGAATAATACCCACCATTTATACATGGCATTAAAATTCATAATTCTAATAGAAAAAGACTAATTTTGGTCATATATATCACAAAGTACTCCTAGTTATTCAATTTAAAAAAAAATTGTATTTTTTGGATACTGTATGGCCAGTGGCAAATGGAAATAGGAATTCTTTATTAAAAAAGAAAAAGTTCAGTGGGCAATTACATTTTAAAGTTACCAAAAGAAAGCATCATTATTATGGCTTTTTAATGTATAACAACTGCAAAACATTTATATATTTCTCTAAAAAAAATAGAATTACCTACTTAAATATTTTAAAAATGCATAGTATATATATCATAATCATTTTTAATCTACTACTCTTCATAAAAAATAAATATCTTTTTATTAATAATAGTAATACCACAGTATAATACATACAGTATAATTAAATATAGGTAACCAACATGGATAGCTCCTCATGGAAAATTGCCTCTTGTTTTACACCAATCATTTTATGTCACTGATTGGTGAGGTTTTCAATTTTCTTAATGAAAATGATTGATTTTTTATAATTTAATAAAAAATCAGTTTTTTTAAAAAAACATTGATTGACATCAGTTGAGCCTTATTAAAAACGCTTTGGCATTTTTATTTTTGGGTCAATAGGTTAATCAAGTCAGGCAAAAACTTTGACCTGACCTAATACTGAATCAAAAATTTGATGACCTGACCAGATATTTTAGGATAGGTTATTGGGCCTGAATTAACTTTGACCTGTTCAGAACTCTATGAATAATATAAGTCAACATATCTTCTTACACTTTTGAATAATACTACACCAGTAGTTTTCCAAATAGTCTGCATATTGCAACCATCCTTTCTTAGCCTTTTATAAGAAAGGTATTGTTGATTTTTTTCATTTAGTAATAAAGGCAAGCTGTTCTTCTTTCAGAATAGATAGACCTTTACTAACAACAAAGATAGGATGCTGAATAATGGTCCTGGAGTGGATATCAAGTAATCAAATTTGGTAATTTTCCAAGATAACCCTGGGGAGAAACTGAAGTTCTCTTTTCTTTGCAAAATAAAAAAACTATGCCTTTTCATTCAAAGCAGTGAAAATGCTTTGATTTAGTCTTTTCACTTCATCCAAAAAATGACTTAACCAAGAACTGTCAAGGTTTATCCAGCTTGTCAAGAATAACATTGACAAAGTAATAATAGTGTCTCAACTGCAAAATAAAATATCAAGATATGATTTATCTTAATGCTGCTGTAAGTATGAAACAACTGAAGGATATAATGCCCAATATATGTTTTAATAAAATTGGAAGTAGAAGCAGTGACTATAGTGAAAATATATATTATAAATTTTTCATAAATTACACTATAAAACTTTCCAACTTGAACTTATATTAGTTGCACCTTTTTATAAAAATTAAAAAAGTTGCATTAACTAAATAAAGCTATTTATATATTATATTGAGTGAGATAATACTTACATCATTGTATTACTTCTGAAACAATAAATTGATTTCCAAAGTCTGAAAAAAAATCACATGATTGTTTTTGTAATTTTAATTTTAACTTTTCTCCCAAAATCTCTGATTGAGAGAATGTTATTTTAATTTTTATTATAAAATAACAAAATTTTCTAATAAAATTCTCTTATTATTTAGAAAATATATACATTATTTTATGTGGACTGTCCTGTTATGTTAAAGTTATCTTGTATCTGTACAAGTATGATTATAAGAAGTTAAAAGTCCTATACTGATTATCAATAAATTAATGTCACAATAGAATCACACCATTTTATTAATAACAGTACAATCAGGTGATCTAGCTATTTTATGTAACCTATAAACTAGAATGGTAATTTAAATTTGTGTAAATAAAGTTATGTGATGATGATGTCATGATGATGATTACTATGATGATGATGATAAATTATATGAAGAAAAGTTTACTTTAAATGATTTTTCAGTAATAGAGGATGCACTCATAAAGAATGCACTAAGGATTACCATTCCTTAGTGGTCATTAATAATGAAATAGCCATCTTGATAAGTATGTATATTTTTAAGTTTTTATGTATATCAGAATCAAAAAAATATAATGAAAATCTAAATCTATTAGTCATATAAGTTATTAAATTGGTATTGTTAATGTTACTTTTATTGTCAATGTCAAAATCAATTTTTACATTTGTATAAATGTTTTTTGTAAAGTAAAAGAAAATTATAAAAATGAAAAATACAAATTCTCAAATTTAAATTTTTTCAAAAAAAATTCATGTTTACTATTTTTTCTTGGTTTCTTTTAATTTAATCCTATTTAGAATTATTGTCATTTCAGTTTATTGTTTTCAGTTAAATCTTTCATATATTTTTGATAATTAATAAAATTGGTCAATACAAATAAGAATTCAATAAATCCTATGTGAAAAAAATTAAAATTAAATGAGTATAATTTTTGGAACCTTGGAACTAGCATTGCAAAAAAAAAGCCAATCTTTTACAATTAAATTGTTCCAATCAAATATAATCACCACACATGTGTAATTACTTGAAAATTTTCTGATAATTTAACGTGCGCTAAATATTTTTATATATAGGGATTATTATCAACTTCAATAGTAATATCACAATGTTCTTTATTGTTTAGAATAGCCATTATAATTGGATTTTAAATTTTAAATTGAAAGAGTTGAAAAGGAATTACCAAATAAACTAGGGTATCCAGGATTTTACGAACGATTTTCACGATATTTAAATTTGATTGGATAGCTGATAACCATGTCATGATTATGATTTTGCTGAAATTCTGGCCAAAATAATTCCGACTAAAATTATTGCGCTTTAGAAATTAGGCCGAAATTACGTTAATTTCAGCCAATCGCGAATTTGCGAAAAAATCGTGAAAATCACGCGTGATTTTTGGGTCATCACGACAACATCTTGGGCACCCTAAAATAAACCACTATTATTTATAAATCGGGATGTTAATTAGATCGTCCAATATTGAAAGGTTTTGTCTAAACAATTGAATGTAATTAAAAGCCTGTAAACTGCAAATAAATAATTTTAAAATATTCTTAATAATAAAAGGAAACGAAAAGAATAAGTTACTATCCAATTTTTTTTTAGAAAAAGTAGTTGAATGATGCTAACTTTGTACGACTAAAAGGTTTATCATTCTTACAGTGAATACAGTGAATACTACTGATGTTATTAACATACGTAAAAGAAATAGAAGTGGACTATATGCATTTCCATGTTTACAGACTCAATCTATCGATCTCGTCTCATTTTGTTCACTTTCACAAAGGCAAATAAAAGAATTCATTAACCAAGGCCTCATCTTTTTATATAATTTGCAAATAATCAAAAAAAAAAATATCTCCTATTAAAGATATAATTTTCTAACAAAAATCTTCCATTAAAGACACATTTTCCTATTAAAAAAATTCACAAAAGAATTTTATATCAAAAAAAACTTCACTCCTATTAAAAAAAATTCTTTAACAAATTCCTCTATCAAAAAAATCTCCCCCTGTTAAAAAAATTTACTAATAAAATGATCCATTAAAAAAAAACCTTTCCTATTAAAAAAAATTCTACAATGAAATTTCTATCAAAAAAAAAANAAAAAAAATTCTCTAACGAAATTCCTTGCAAAAGAATATTTTCACTTATTAAAAAATTCTCAAAAAAAATTCTTTACCAAGAAAAACTTCCTCCTATTAAAAAAAATTCTTTAATGTAATTCTCAAAAAATCTCCAACGAAATTCTAAATCTTCCGTATTAAAAAAATCCTCCAATGAATTTTCTAAAAATTCTCTGCCAAACATTTTTTGAAAAAATCCAATAAAAAAATTCTTCACCTAATTGAAATTTAAAAATTTTTTTTTAATACGCTAAATTTAAACCATGTTGTTGATAGAATCAGCAATATCAGCTGATCTTTTGTCAAGACCCGGACATCAGAGGTCTTACACAAAATAAAATGATCTTAATAAGTTTTTTTTTTAAAAAAAAAAATAATAAATAATTAAGCAAAATAGCAAATTAATTAGGAATCGCTTCTTAAATTATTCACATGATCTTAATTAACATTATATGTTTGAAATTTTCCGAAAATTCTTACAATTATTTCAACACATATGCACTCCGGTATTCACATAATGCTGCTTGATAATGCCATAAAAAGCACAATTTTATTTTTATAAACTGCTGTTGTATTTGTCTTTTGTTATATTGCTAGTGTTATTTACGGAAACTATACAAACGTGCATAACTTATAAACTAAAAGCAATAAAATATTAAATCATATTTTATATCGTTCCATTATACCGCACATATTCGTGCACGATATTACAGTTGCAATAATTATTATGGGCGAGAATTTGAAGTTTCAAATCTACAGATTCTTTACTGAGATCGATTATCAAAGAGCGCAATGCCGTATTCATTTGTGTTAAATATGTATCTCGCTCTTGAAGTCTTTTTACAATCTGCTTTTGCTTATTACGGTATTTCGCCACTAAATAAAAATGGTTATTACAAATATGTTATTATAGAATAATAAATGTAAGATTATATATACCCGCAATTCGGTTTCTTTCTAATCTTTTCGCTCGTTTTTCTTCTGGGGTTTCTCTACGTTTATTATTCAAAGATCCTGTAGAAATAAAAGTTGTTTCTGCTGGTGAAGATGACTCGGTTTCTGCTTTTGTTACTGTTGTTACAGCAGTATTTAAAATCCCACCAGGCGAATATTCGTATGTCACACTTGAGGGAGTTGTCATAACAGTTGTTGAAGCTTGTCCGTATGATACTGTGGCTTCTGGAGAAATTAAATATGATAATTCAGAAAACGAAACATGTGCTTCGCTTTCTGTTATATGATAAACAGGTTGTGTTTTAATTTCGAGTCCAGAAACTTTAATCTGTTTTACTTGTGGAAATAATCGTTCATAATTTTCCATAATATTAGTTTCATAAAGATAATCAGATTTCATCAAAGAAATTTCCGACATATTGAGAAATTTTTGAGAGAAAAATTTTTTTTTATTGATTTTTAAGAGAATTTTTCCTATTGATTATAAAAAATATCTATCTCTTTTTATAGGAAATCTTATCGTATATAATGATAAAAAGATAAAACATACAATATAAATGTATTAGTCATTATCTCAAGCTCCTGATGCGTAGTAGTATTCAAACTAAAGGAATGATTGTTTATCAGATCCCATACATGTGATTGGCGTAGTAAACAAAATGATTAATAATCTTATGCGCAGTCTAATGAAAATTAATAATAACTTTTTAATTACTGTTTTTTATATTATGCAATTAAATATACCTAATTGAGTCAGAGTATACATTTATGAGATGGGTTAGATAAATAACGTGTAACCCCGTGCTGTTATGATTAATAATTAGTAAGGATATTATTTATTTTGATATTTGAAAAGTTAATGATAAATTTGTTAAAAAACTTTGAAAATTTTTATTTAATAAAATAATATACTGATTTCTGGCCTGTATAACTAGCTAATTTTTTTTACCAAAATTACTAATTTTAATAATAAATTAAATAAGTATATTAAGAGTTACAATTATGAAAAATATTTTGACTTTTTGTTTTACAATATGTTTTTTCAACATTATTTCGTCATATTTTGTCATTGTGGAGAACTCTATTAACAATGTTCGTTAGAACAAGTGAAGAATATTTTCCTTAACAATTATGAAAAATATTTCCCATAATTAATATAACCTTATTAGATTTTAAATTATAAATATAAATACAGACTGATCTATAGTCACATTATGTGTATATCATTGATTGTTAATATCTATCTGAAATTTGATTTGGTATAATTTTTTTTGTAGTGCATTGGACTTTTTTTAAAGGTGATATTTGGTGAAATAGAGAAATTTGCTATACTAATTAAAATCAATCAATTACTTAATCATCTCCCTCCTCTGATTACTTTCCAGCAGATTTAATGGTGGTGGTGGTCCGAGCAGATCTAATGGAAAATATAAAAGATATAAGATAATAGACCATACTAGTTGGAATCTCTTTTATTTTTTTTTTTTAGTTTTTGATGGCAACTTTATGGCGACTTGTATGAGTCCAGAACTCATCTGATAATCATAATTGTTAGGAGAACTTATCAGATATCTTTGTAGATTACCTAGAGCAAATAAAATTGGTTCTATTTAAAATCTAATATTAAAACTTGTAAATATATACAAACTGTCCATTATTCTACTTAAATTTTCATATCCTATATTTATTAAATTATTTTAAATATTTACTAATAGTATCAAATAAAAAATAAAAGTAAATAGCAAGATATTTACTGTGTTTTTAAATGTTTCACTTATTTTGGCATTGAAATGGAGTGACTGTAATTTGCACATAAATGTTCATATTTGGAAACTATTTAATTTTACACCTTCTCTTCATTCTTCTCTTCCTCTTTGTAGATACTCTGATATCAGCATCATAAGAAAAGTTTCTTTTCTTTTTTGTAGGGTGCCGGACAAATACTATGAACCGGAATTTGAATTAAAGTAAATGGAAGAGGGGAGGTACTACTTCATTGTTAATAGAAATGTTTCTAACATTTCTTCTTTTCTTTTTGTAGGTCATCGGACTATTTAGACGAACCCGGACTTGGAATGTAAGAAATGGGGAAGGTGGGAATTAAAGAAACGTACCTAATGTTTCTTTATTTTTTTTAGGCCACTGGACTCCCGAACTTGTAATGTAAGGAATGAACGTCAACTTGGGGTACGCTTGTGGGTGCTCCAATATCAGCTGTGATTTAACAGTATCCTTAAGGCGAACCTTTGTAGCCTACTTGAGTCAAATACAGGACTAAAAAAGGTGCCTCATTTACAATAATAATCATTTTCTTTAAAAACCCTTTCACGCATTTTCTATTTGATGCTCCTCTTGCTCTATCAATGAAATCTCGTAAAAGCTGGCGTAAAGTACATGTATAAAAGAAATCAAATAAATACATGTAATTTGAGATTTTGATCATGATTTTGATCATGAATTTATTAACTTAATAAACTACCAGGTTTTTTCCAAAAGTAAGAATTAAATTTCTGATAATACTACTTAGCCCATTGAATTTGCGGACCTCATATATAATCACAGCACATTTATATTGAACTAGAATAATCATATATTAAAAGACTATCTTATTGTTCACATCATATAATATATATAATATTTGTATAAGCATACATTTTTTTGATCCTAATTAAATGTATAGATGAGCTTATAATTTATTTCATTGTGGCAATGTATAAAGTCATAAATAAACTACTTTCTAAAATATCTCCATTTACTTATTTTAAAAATATAGAATAAAATATTTTCATAAATCCCCTTATATTGGTGATATGTTTTTAGCCATGAAACTATCAGAAGTATAAGGAAATTATTAGGAAGTACTCTAGTAAATGTTCAGCAAATCAGAAATCACATTTAATTTTGACTTGATTTAACCAATATAATCCTTTTCTATATCATATGTTAAACTTGGATATACAATAATTATGTACTCAATACTCATCTATGTAAATCTCTAAATAAAAGTGTTGTAAATACATAATAATACTAATTAAAATTTGTAACATAGAGCAATAAAAATATGCATTTTATTACTTTTAACAAGATTTACAGCCAATATTCATTTACATCTTACTGGGATGAAGTATTAAAAATATATTTACATATTCAAATATTTTTGTGCATAATACAATGTACTGCATATAAATTTATTATTTCCACATATTGATCTTATTATATGGTATATACTTTCTACACATTTCAAGTTATTATAACTAGAAAATATTATCTCAAATTCTCCTATCAGTGTATACCTTTTTTTTAATTCCACTTTAAATTCTTTTCTTTGATTTCTGGTAACTATTTGATTTTTAGTGTTTAATAAGTTTTTATATCTAAAAGTTAAATTTTTAATATAGATCTATAAACTCATATTTTTATGTCGTCATAATCTGAAATTCCTCAATATGTTTGTATACTATCTTTGCAATTTTATTATTTTAAAGTTTAAAATATTATTATTCTTCTAATAATTTTATTTTTATTTTTTTCATTAGTATAAAACTATTTTAGTTCTGTTGCTATGTGCATATCAAATTTTCTTTTATATCATTTTATTAGATTATTGTTATCTTTCTTTAACTATAATTCTTTTATATAATACATTAATATTTTACAAGAAATTGGTGTAATTTAAACATTTATAAGATTTTATAGTTGTATTTCTGATATTCATGAAAAAAACTGGATATTTTGATAATATTATATATAATTTAACAGTTATAACTATCAAAACTAATATTATTGAGCAACTATCATGTCATTTCCTTGTAGTAAATCATTAGTACATCCACACAGCTACAGATGAGACACTGTTATATATTTGATATGTGATTATAGACTTGCCAATTTGATATACTATGTAAGATTACAACATTATATTGTTATACTTATTTGGATTCAAATACATACGCTATCATTTTGAGATTTTATTTATAGCCATATAGTGAGTTAAATATTAAATATAGATCATATCAATAGAAACAAATTTATTTTATTAATAGTGAATGTATATAGACCTATAAATTTAGATCAAATTTAGATCAATTATAAACTGATACTTAATTATAAATAACTAGGTAATAGGAACCGTGAAGCATTATAATCATATGATCATCAAATACTTGGCCATACACGTGAACTTGAAGCTTGAAGCTTCGGACAATTAAACAACATAATAAGATACAAAAAATAGCTACACAAGATCCGAAAATTTGAGTGTATTTGAAGTTTCCTACGCTCATGCTTCGGACAATAATATGTTAAATAATTTTCTTTTTTACAATTTATATAAAGTGGACAAAGTCAAATAAAGAATGCTCTTTAATTGGTCTTGACAAATCTTATTATTATCCAATTATATATACAGATTACTTTATTCACGACCTATTTTGTATTATCTTACAATAATGAATTATTATTAACTTTAAAGCAAAAGCCTTTAAAGCCTAAATTTGTTATATAATAGATTCATTTTAAATAATTATTTGTTAATTACAGTTTAGAGGTTAGAATCATCCAAAAAACCTTAACCGGTAATATTGAGAACATTATTAAACCTTTTTTGCAAATTATTTTTATAATACTAATAAATTAATAAGGTTTGATTCATATTCTTTTATAGTATAATAAAAATAATAAAATTTTTTATCATTATTTATTTAACTGTATTTATTATTACTATTATCATTTGTGCGGTACGTAAAAGACAAAATATTATCTACTTTTGAGTTAATATTTTTACTAACTTTATGCATGACAAATATAAAAATTATTTTTATATAAACATTCATGTAGTTCATTTAAATATCTTTAAACATTTAACTACTTTTTGGAAAATTTAACCTTACATATTTATTTGAACAAAAAAAACACAATATCTCAATTATATTATAAACTATTAGTGGATTAAATTAGTATTATTTATTTAATGGAGTTGGGAATAATAGGGTTTTATCCCAAAGGGAAAGAGGCCCTAATGTTCCCCTTCCCATGAAATAAATGAGTAATCCCCGGAGCGTGTCACTCATTAAATATTAACTATTTTAAACTAAAATTAGTAATTTTCCGATCTATAAGAGCCCAGGAAATAAGTAAACGAAGTTTCCTGATCATTTATAAACTCAGATAATCACTCACATTTTTAAAAATTAGTATAAAGTGATCATGGGTGACACCTAGTTCAATAGGATCAAATTGATATATAGTAATAAATCATTCAAAAAATAAATTTGTTAAGTAATGCATATTTGATGATATAGTAGTATTGTGAACAGTTTTCAAATAAAGTTGATAATTTGGAATGCGCCCAATATGTTGATCGGCCGATATTGGGATCAATGATTATGGAATTTTTAATCATTTTCATCACACAATATGTAGTAGTAAACATGACTACTTTTTTATAGTATATAAAAGCAAGGGTTTCAATATATATTTAAAAGAAAAAAAAAGGGAAAAAAAAATGGAAAGACAAGATTCATTAGGAGAAGACAATCCCAAAATACAATGATGTAGAAATTAATTTTATGGTTGTAGACTAATTTTAGCAGCAAGATCCAAAGTATTTGATAGATTATTTCATTATGGAATAAAGGAATACTATGAACCATAAATTTCCCTTCCAAATATTAATTCTGCCGAAATGGAAATTATATTAGAATATAATTATACAGATTCAATTAAAAAAGAAAGAAGAATCCTTAACAAAAGATAATATAATTAATGCTTTTTACGCAGCAGATTATTTTGGCCTTAATAATTTTATTATGAAAACTTTAAAAAATAAGTCAAAAAACAATTAACATGAAAATTATTCACCAGTATTATTATCTAAATTTGTGGGAAAAATGCCATTAATGAAAGATAATAAACTTTCAAATTTATTGATAAAAGTGGTAGCAATCAAAGATTCCATTAAATACTATTAAATTCTATATTTAAAATCAATGTCACCATTTTATTCTTTGTCAGAAGAATAAGATTCTTCATCAAATTTGTCAGCAATCATTATGGGTTTTTTAAGGAAAGGTGCATACCTATTTTTAAAAGCAAGATCTATTATACAAGCAACAGATTTAAGTTAGAACCCATTTAGTTTCGGATTCACAAGGTATGAGTAATTTAATATTATTATCAGCTATGACAAAATCTGGTTCTCCAACAATATTTTTTAAAGCATGACCATCCAAAAAATAAATAGGTTGCTCTAGTGTAGTTAATGTATCAAAGATATTTGTATCTGTTGCTGACCATATATCTTTCTCACTAATGATTTTACATGACCTAAATATGGGTTTATAATATTTTTATTTGATTCTAGTTGCCATTTTTGAACCTCTTGCTTAAAATCCAACCAATCTGTAATTTCATTAGGAGAACGTTGTTCTGTTAATTCAATAGTTGATTTTGATTTATCAATCTAGATGTACCAGATTTGGTATGATATTTTGGGCAATTCTAATAAATAAATCTCTAAAAATTTACAAAGAACAAAATATAAATCATAAAATAATTGATAATGTTAACAGATATCATAGATAAAAACATCATAATTTACTTACTACTAATTGATGAATATTTTAATGATATTGAAGTAGAAACCATGAAACTTTCTTCATCAGCTTTAAAGTTGTTCTTTTCCTTTTTCATTTTTTTTAGATTTCTTTCTAAATTTATCTTTTCAATAGATTTTCTTTTAACAGGTGTGACAGCCATTTTCCTTTCTTCATTAATTTCTTTTCCAGATTTCTGAAATAATATGCAAGAAATTATGAGTAAGATCCCTTAACATAAGGAAGGTACATAGCGAATTCCTCCTCCAGAATAAGCAGACCTTAATCAAAGAAATCCCATAGCTAGTTGTGCACGCCTCAGCGGATGAGTGAACTCATTCTGGCTAGACGCTCTTCTTCCCTATACCCGCAGAATAGGTTGTAGCACTTTCACTATGGCTCGTTAATATTTTAAAAAAATACTAACCTTTAGTTGACACTTCAAATCATTTATTTCTTGTTTTTGGTTCTAAGTTTTTGATTAAAGTTTCTAGTTCAAATCCTAATGCAGTATGTGATGTTTGCTTTGATGCATTTGGAAATTCTTTAAAGAAAAATTGATCCTATGTATCAATTCGCCATTGTGTATATGATCTTTTCCAGTAATTGGCAAAGATTATGCAAGTCTTTTTGATATCATAATCATAAATAAGTTGATAGTTTAGTGAAAAAGCGATAAGAAATAGAAAAAGAATCAATAAAGCATTTGAGTATTAAATACAAAAAAAATTGCTATAATCAACATAATTTGACACATTGATACAATATGACTATTATGATATTAAAAAGTAAAGATGATGATGATTTTCATTATGATTGTCCTTATTTATTATGTCACAAAACCATTTAGTTAGGCTTAAATGTTACATAATTATTTTCATATGATAATTAAATTTTGAGGCTTATTATTTGTTTTTTTTTCTACTTGATTACGTCATAATAACATGGAAAATTATTCATAGTTATGTAAGTTGATTGACTCTTTTTTATTCATTGATGACGATTATTACTGAACCTGTTAAGGAAATGTCAAACATAAAAACTCATAATAAGTCAGTGCACATATGGCTATGATTGATTATCATTTAATTTTGTATCAGTATGAATACAATAATTACAACAGTATTAAAATTTATATTATTCTTACATACTATAAGATGTGCGTAACACTTGAAGTTGCTTTACCCACTTTTTCTCAGCGTAGTATCATAGCATTATCTTGGTCGAATTTGAATTCGGGCTCATCAAAATAATAATCAATTGTAATAGATTTCAATAAATTTTATACATATAATAAATTTTTTTTTTAACTGGGAATATTATCATTACCTAATTAACTCATTTAATATAAAAAGACAAATATAGCAAAATGGGATTATTTGAATAATATAATAATATTCTAAATCATTATAAATTTATTTTTTAATGTAATTGTTCTGCCTAATCCTGGAGTAATTCATTTGTAAATTAGTAGATCCGAATACCGTTCAAACTCTAGGATTTATCCGTTCAAGAAAAGCTCTAGATTCCCCTTTCATTAAAATTACCCGGTCGGTCATTGCATTCTATTCTTCCATTTCATTCTGCGATACGGTTAGAATATCTTTGCAGAAAGTCAGAAACGATAGTTGTTTTACAACTTGTCTATATTTTGGAATGGATTTTCTTATTATAATGTAATGCTTGAAGTTTTAATAATTTACAAATCTTGGCTACTTAATTAAGATATCGGTCGTTAGCACGTTTCTTTACAACTTAATAATATTATTTCCGGTATCCCATAAGCCAATAATTTTGCTCATATCCGGCATGTTACGTAATTTATTGCCGGAAATAAATGATGCCTGTCGAAATTGATTAATTTATCAAGTACCACAGTGACGATTGAATTTACATTTCACGTGATGTATATACATAACTTACGCCCACGAGACGTCGTGACAATGTACAGTACATTCAAAAATTATGTTGTGCACATAAATATTACGTTAAATATTTTTTTTAAAAAAAAATGGTATGACTACCATCTAATACGAATCCTGAAAACAAAGGAAATGAAATTAAAAGTCTACTTGTATGGCGTTCCTTTATTATCTCATAAAGTTTTCAATTTTCTTTTTTTTTGAAACGCTTTCATGAATAATAATTATTGCAGCGTTAAAAAACAAATAATTTATTCGATAAAAAAACGTCGACGAGGGTAAATATGTTACTTTGACTTTATTGGAATAAATTTCATTTACTAAAAAAAAGTTTCATTTATGTATATTATTAACAGCTGTAATCCTTCAAATTTTTTTTTTGATAACAATATAACACTTGCAATTAGTATAGGAGGTTTATCAAAGCAGAAGATAAAAACAATTAATGTCTTTTTTTTATTCTGGTTGAGTTTGAAAGAAAGTTAGTTCGTTCAAAGGCAAAAATCAATAAATGAAAACATTATTCAGAAATCTGAAAATAAGTTAGTAACATAAATAATATAGGCTGTAAGGCTGTTTTTCTGTATAAATATATAATGTAAAACTCCGTTCCATTGCTAATATCTTGTCTTTCAACAAGAAAAAACATTGTTTGGTCCACAAAATTCATTTTTATATTGTACATCTAAATATTACAATCAAGTAAAATTTTCATATTTACGTTCATTCATAATTTTACTATTTCGTTAGTTACTCTCACGCGTTTGTTGTTATAGTTTGACTATTTATAACTTGTATTACATAATTATGCAGTATTTTATTCGTTGATTTAAATCGGTCGGTCTATTAAATTTTGTATAAATGCCTCATTTTTTTCTTCCTCAACTACATCTTCAACTTCTTCATATATACACTACAGTAAAATGTATATTCCCTATAAAAAAATTGGATACGTTTTTTATAAAGTTTTTATACGATTTTTTTTCCTTAGAAATAACGTATCATAATAGGATACGGAAAAATGCACAATTCCGTATCACTAAAAATATGGTTTGGATACGGAATTTGCACGGAATCTGTCTCTTATACACATCTAGATGTGTATAAGAGACAGACATAAGNTTTGATTTATTGAAAAAAAGGAAAATTGAAGATTATCAGCTCAGCAAATAAAAATTATGATAATATTGTTAGTAATTCACGAAGATATTCGAAATGTAAATATGATTCATATTTGAAATTTTTTTGGAAATGGCACGTGATCTTGAATGATTTCCCATAAAAATGTGACCAAGTAAACCTTCCCATAAAACATCTGTAAAATGTTGAACTCTTTCTTCTAAAAAAATTGAATTGACAAATTTTATATTCTAGAATTTTTTACAAACGTTACAAATAGACAAAATTCAGTATTTGTCATAGAAAATCTTTCAATTTTGAAAGTTTAATTTCAAAAGTTAACAAAATATACCTAAGTTAAATATCGAAAATTTTGCACGGTTTTATTTTTTTATTTTCCAATTTCGTACGTTTTACATAAATTATAACCTAATGATGCTGTGCTACATAGAATTTAGGTTTGTTGTAGCATGTGATACAAATTTGTTGATCAAAAGGCGGCGGTACATGAAATTCCGTTCTGAAACCTTTCTTTCCAACAAAATTAAAAGAAATATTTTGTTATGTCTGTTATACGAAAGGAACTAATTAATGTTGCAATTAATAGAGCGATCGCATTAATAGATTATAATATTCATAATGATATAGACAAACAACATGAATTTATACAACAAACAGTTCTTGCTGATAAATCTTTTACAAATGATGAAATAACTGAAGTAATAAGAAGAATAAATAAAATTATTGATAGAAATAAAGTTCTTCTTAATAAAGGGACAAGAAGAATTTGTGAAAATTGTAACCAAGTACGTTTAGCTATATCATATTGTGAATATTGTGTTCGAAATTATTTAAAATTAAATTTTTTAAATTGGACATCTGGAAATAATGTTATTGATAATTTAATACAAAAATGTCAAATGGAAACATTTGAACCAGAAAAAATAGTTGAATGGATTCCATATGATCTGTCTCTTATACACATCTAGATGTGTATAAGAGACAGACAGAAAGGAAGATCAGAAGATCAAACTCATCAAAGTAAGGGTTTATATAAAAAACAAAAAACGTATCATAACAAAACAATAAACAATCACGTGATCTCGTGTTATGATACGAGATTTTTGTAAAATTATTTTCTAAAAATATTAAGTTTAAAAATTCCGTATACATTCCGTATGATTGATTTTTTCCGTATACATTAGTTTTTTTAAAAAATATTCAAAAATGAATTGCTTATTAAATATACGGAATTTGTATACGGAATCTATAGAAACGTACATAAAATGTATACAAAACGTATCCTTTCCGTATACATATTTCTTATAGGGATTCTTAGACATAACAGCAAAATACGGTATATCCATATAGAAGACAAATACGTGGCAGTAACGCAGACATGTTTTCAGTACTAATTGTACGTTTACCATGGACGATGTGTTTGCACATCAATAATTTAATGGTTCCCCTTTTTAATATAGTAAGTATGATTCTATTACTTATGTGTTGTATCAACTATGATGAAAATTCTTAATTTTAAACTTTCTTGCATTAATTTTTGTATATTTTAAAGAAATATCATCAATTTTATTTCGTATAACGAAATTTATATATAAAATCGAATTTCTTAATAACATTTGAAAACATTAAGAGAAAAAATTTTTTTTCTATAGAATTTAAATTTATTATAATACAAATCTATTTTACATTAAGATTATTAAGTTTCTACAAATCATATGATAATTATGAAATTCAAACATTTTATGTATTTTAACATCCTATCGACAATTTTCCCCAGCAGAGCTATTTATATAGTTTTTTATTGTATTGAACTTTCATTTATCTTTCATTCGTTTCTGATTTTTAATCCCTTAATCCTTTAACCTATTACACTTTTGGTAGGGTCGTACATACACGGTTTGATAAAAGTTCTTTAATTGATCTTGACAAAGTTATATACTGTAGATTTTATTCATAACTGATTTTTGTAATATCTTGCATAATGAATTATTAACATTCAAAGCAAAGCTATTAAAGCGTAAATTTATCATAGGATAAATTTATTTTAATTAACCATTTGTCAATTATCCAAGTTTTGTATAATTTCAGTTTAGATGTTTGGAATCGTCCAAAAACCTTACATCGATATGTATCGAGAAATATGAAATTAATAAATCTCTTTTTGCCGCAAATTGTACGATCGATTTACTCACATATTTGGAATAAGGAGATTATATTTCACTAATAGTTTTACTAAAAATAAAAAAAAAACTACTAGAACTTCGATCGACTGAAATGACTGAAATTGTATATTATCTCCGGCCTGCATTATAAAACTTGACCAGAATTATCAAAAAATTTTAACCAATTAACGACCGTCTTAACTCTATAACTGGTTAACATTAATTAGTTCTAAAAATTTAAGCACTTTTTAATATGATATATACATTATCTCATCTTCCAATCCTTCAAACTTTATTTACATTAACTCCTACGATGGTTAATTCATAAAGTACTAGAACGTTAATATAAAAATAAACACAAATTTCTAATAATCTTATGTAATACTGGGCTAATCTGTTATTTAATGCTCTAAATAATTAACAAATCAAAAATTCAAAATTTAACTAACAAGTTTGCAAAACGTTGGTTGGTTTGTTAGAATTTTCATTCATATATATACATTTATACAGTACATTATCCTGCTGATACACGGAGAAAAAACGAAAAAATTCTTTCTAGTGTCGATTAATTAACAATATTGTTCAGAAAGCCGACGGTGAATTCATTGATAGAAGTAATTAAATATTATATCAAATTTTCAATCATTTTAAATATTAACATTGTTTCAAAGGCACATGTTTAGAAATTTATTACGTGCGTGTAAATACGAATAGGGGTTATAGGGAAATATCTATAATTCAATATTAGGCGATACAAAGTAAAAAAAAATTGGGTCTCATGACTCTCATATCAAAATTTACTTTAATCTGACCCGGCCGCACGGGTTTTTTAATAAAATTTTTTAAAAACAAAATTTTATCATTTATTTATTTATTTATTTTATGTGAAGTCAACAAAATTTTTATCATCTATCACGTGTAAAATTTCGATGATTTATCACGTGATATAATTTTAGGGCGATTTTATTGGTTAAAGTTAAAAAATTGGTATCGGCGTGTTTATCAGTTTATGTCGCCTTATAATCATTTAAAAATTTATTGAAATTCAGTAAAACCTTATAATTTTACTACTCTAAAAGCTTCAATTTCTTCAATTATATAAGGTATATTATTATCATCACTTACATTTTTTTCATAATGTTCATTACCGTTAGCATATAAATTCTGATTTTCCATACATAAAGCGTCACCACCAAAATTAAAACCATAATAATAATTATTATAAATAGCATAATCATATGATATTACTCTACTTAATTTAATATTTTTCATATAAGTATCATCTTCAAAAGAAAAAATAAAACTATTTTCAGAATAAATTAAACCATCAATACTATCATTACTATAAAATCCAACAGGAGTATAACCACCAAAAATTTTTTTAGTATTTTGACATTTTATTAAAACTAAAATTGGTAATCTTAAATTACATTTATTTCTAAATGAATTATTATTAATACCAGATTGACTACCACGATAAATAAGATCAAAATTATATAAAGAATCATTTTTATTTCTTATAGCCTTTGCATCTTTTTTATTAATCCAATTAATAATTGTAGAAATAAGTTTTATTTTAATAATTTTCGATTCAATATGACTTTTTCCAACTCTTGGAGGTAAATTGATTGTTTTTGGTATTGTACCATTAAAATAAAATTCTTCAACTTCATTATGAATAATATTAGGAATAATGGCTTTATAAGGACGAACTTTAGTTAAATAATCAGCGGCAGAAATTTCCACAAATCGAATAAGAGGAATAAATTGACTCAAAGTTTCTCTTAATGCTTCATAATTTTCATTATTCCATTTGGTTCTATCATTATTATTACTTTCAAAACCAGGAGTTTGTTCAATACCCCATTTAATTAAGCATTCCCAAATTATAACTTCTTCAACCGGTAAGTCATCACGTTCGAGTAAATTATATAGAATATCTTTATCCAACGAGGGAAAGTTTTTTGAAGTAATAAATGATCGTGGATCTGAACAAATGGATTCAAGACAATAGGTTTGTAATTTTTTACAGTTCAAAAGTTTAAATACAGTATGAAGAACGAGAACAAAATTTTCTTGAACCCAAGTTGTTTGTTTCTCAATTAAATTATCTTGAACATGTTCAAATAATTCTTCAAGGAGTAGTTCATCAGATGCAACTAAAAGTTCGAGAATATCTTCACTTTGATAATTTGTTAAGTCGAGTTCACCTGTATAAATATATCTTTGGAGAGATTATTTTAAATTATAGTAAATCAATCGAAATATTTTAACAGAGTCGAAAATTTTTAATTAAACTTACTTTAATATCATTTCAAAAACTAGAGGAGAAATATTTGGTTTATTAAATATTATCATGTCATTATTCTTTGTAATCCATTTATTTGATAGTGCACTTCTAAAATATGGAGAACGAGTACGTAAAATTACTGAATGGGCATGAAATTCTTTAATATATTCGTTCTTTCCGACTTGAATAATAACATTAAAATCATCGGCATCATTTAATATGGAAGAAAAATCTTTTGAAAGACCGGAATGAAATATTGAAGTCATTTAGAAATAAAAAAAAAAAAAGAGTTGAGAAGATAATTGTTTCAAACAAACATTGATTTTTTTTATAAAGAAATAATTTTTTTGTTACAGCATTTGTACCAACACGGGACCTCATATTACAGCGGCTCAATGTAGGCTTCTCCCCGTATCTGTTTGAAGTAAAAATCTGCAAGTCCACGATCTGTTTCACACATTTGTATAACCAAATGACATCATCACGGCTTAGTAAATAATGATTGTCAGAGAATGGAAAAAATATTTAAACAATCAAATACTTGCTTTTAGAATTTAATTAAACCGGATAAATGATTAATAATTACTATACTTATAACGAATTAGTTAATTAAAATCTTCAATATTAATTCCATTGAAATGATGGAAATTACTGTATTTGATATAATTATGAATGAATATAATGAACATATGTATTGAACAAGATAAATTACGCAATTCTTACTAGTTTAAATTCATTTACATATGAATATTAAAATATTTATTATTAATATGTGCATTACTTGATTTAAAACACAATGGCTTAAACATGCATAAATTTTAAATTCTTCACATGATAAAATTATTTAAACCAATAAAATCAATTTTCGTACACATTTATTTATAGATAAACTTAACTTATTTTGTATTTATTTGCAGATAGAAAAACAGATTTAGTCCGAATTAGATAAATTAGATCCAATTTTGATCGGGATAAGTATTTTTAACATACAGTAATATGTTTTAACTTTTCTTTTTTTTGGAATTTCTTTGTCTGGATAGATAATTACATGATAATTACCAAATTTGAATTTTTTTTTTTTAAAAATATTTTTTGATTTGTTTAACTTAAATGCCTCGATTTCTATTTATGATATATTCATAAAATTAGGAGTTTAATCACAAATATTTTTCTTAGCCACATGCAGTGTTACGATATATTTAGGGAAATAAATAATAAAATTCTTCTTTTAAGCTTTTATTTTTTGATAATAATGATGTCATCAGCGGCTTTGAACAATTTATCTAATAACGAATATTAATTTTACTTTTATTTTTTTTTTTTTTTGCCGGTAATTTCCACCATGCATGTAAAAATTATTTATTACACAAAATTAATTAATTTCCAGAAAAAAATTTTTTGCAAGACGATTAAGATCACGTGGCGTGTCACGTTAAATGTTGATGACGTCATATGGCCCATTAAAAATTCTAAAAAAAATGAGAGTTCATGGTTACTAATTAAATAGTTAATATTTTTTTTGTTCCGGACTTATTCGTAAATTCTGCCAACATATAATCTTTTACTATTAAATTTATGTCACAGAAAACTATTTAATATTTCTCAAAACAATTATATTTAATGTGAAATATCTCAATGACTTTTATTTATCATAAATTTTTTTCTTATCTTTGACTTATTCTGCATTTGCAAATAAAAATTTATTTTTCGACTAATCAATTAACTAAAAAATAACATTCAATAAGCTAATGCTGCAAAGCTTTTCAAATACTTATTGTAAATATATGTGGATATTTCCATGAAAGGTACAAACGCACTATAACACTAATAAGAATGAATTTAAACTTTTAATTACATTTAAAATTTTAAATAGTTAAAATCTTTAAAATATTAAATGCTGGCTAAGCTGCTGTCAGAGAAATAATCCCATAAGATTTATACGATAAAAAAGATGTTTTTAGCATTAAAACATTTAAGTAAATTTATAATAAGTTTTGTTATAAATCATTTAGAAAAGAAAAATTAGAATTATTATAACATTGGAATTCGCAAAATACTAATTTATTAGTTTGTTATCATTTAAACAGAACTGCACATTATTTCTCTATTTATAACACTATATAAACTGCATTTTTTTTAATTATATTAATATATAAGTTATAATAAACCAATATTCAATAAAATTATAATTTACCTCGGGTATATGTCAGTATGTCACGTAAACCACTACCATTACTTTAGATTTAAAAGTGAGAAAGATGTTGAATTCTTTCACAAACTAGTAACTATCTAGTTTTAGCTAACTATATCGGTTTGAGCATAAACCGTTTTAAAACCAGTTCGTAATAAACCAGATAATTTCCCTAGCTTTATTATCTGTTATTCACAAAATATCACTGTATTTGTTGACAATCTCAAAACAAAAAATTAATCTTTATTCTTAAATATGCAATGAAAGTACCAAACTAAAAATTGTCGAGTTTCATACAATCACAAAGTGCGTATTGTTATGATACCCGACCAATAATAAAACCTAAAATACGTGACTTCTTATATACTAACTGAATAAAATCAACAATTTTGATATAATAAATTACAAAACAGTTATTTTGAAGACTTCAATTTCTGCCGGGACAAAATTATAATTAAAGTATGGGCTTAAAACATTGGTAACATTATTATCATAATATCCCGGATGATTACTATATATATATTGGTTATTAGATAATTGAAAAGTATTACCAAAATTAAATCCATTGTTGGAATTATGTTCGTAAATTGCATAATCAGCATAGCTACTATTCACACGACTTATTTTCATATTTTGAATATCTTCACTATTTTCAAAAGAAAATATAAAACTTTCAGTTGTATTATACCATTGTCCAGAAGAAGAATTAATAAAGCCAATTGGATTATACCCTCCATAAATCTTTGCTGAACTTGGATGCTTGACTAATACTATGCATCGACCTTTACCACAACAGTAATTTCGAAATGTATTTATATTGAGTCCATGTGCGCTACTACGATAATAAAGATCAAATTTATACTTGTATAATAATGCTTTTACATTTCTTCTTTCGAACCAGCCAGCAATTATACTAGCAAGTTTTGGTTTTATAAGAACCGATCCGATTAAGACATTGTTCTTTTCAATTCGTGGAGTTAAAGTGATTATTTTCGGTTGGGTACCCTTAAAATAAAATTCTTCAATATCATCATAAATATTATTAGGAATAATAGCTCTGTAAGGACGGATCTTATCAAAATATTCGGAAGAAGAAAATTCTGTAAACCGAATAAGTGGAATAAATTGATTTAAAGTTTTCTTTAATGCTTGATAATTTGAATTACTCCATTTGGTTCTATCACTATTATTTTTTCCCAAACCAGGAGTTTGTTCAATACCCCATTTAATTAAACAATTCCAAATGACATCTTCTTCGACAGGAAAATCATCTCGCTTAAGTAAGCCATATAGAATGTCTTTATCTAATGAGGGAAATTTCTTTGAAGTAATAAATGGTTGAGGATCCGCACAAATAGATTTAAGACAATAATCCTGTAGTTTTTCGCAGCCCTTAAGTTTAAATACTGTATGAAGAACGAGAACAAAATTTTTCTGAACCCAAGTTGCCTGTTCATTGATTAAATATTCTTGAACATGAGTAAATAATTCTTCAAGTAGCAGTTCATCAGATGCAACTAGAAGATTAAGAATATCTTCACCAGGATGGTTTTTTAAGTCAAGCTCACCAGTATAAATATATCTTAAAAAAGAAATATCGAATTAATAATACAACCAAATGAAATAATCCACGGTATACCGTATACATAAAAAAATAACTTACTTTAGAACCATTTCAAAAACCGTTGGAGTAATATTTGGTTTAATAAATGTGTTAGAATCATTCTTTTTAGTGGTCCATTCATCCGAAAATGCTCTTTTAAAGTATGGTGAACGAGCACGTAAAATTACTGAATGTACTTTAAATTCTCCTATGTTTTCGTGATCACCAACTTTAATAATAACGTTGAAATTGTCAGCATCATTTAATATGGAAGAAATATCTCTTATAAAGCCAGAATGAAAAGTTGAAGCCATTTTAAAAGCAAACAAAAATAAGTTAAAGTGAAGAAAACTTTCGTTGTCTATCTGATACGGTATCTGTTGTATGGTTCCTTAAATTAAAATTTTTTTTTGATTTATTGTAATATATGGTTAAAATGATTGTAAATGGAAATAATCAAAAAACATTTTTTTTTAAAAATATAGTTTGATTTATTCCAAAACGGCTCTTGATGATGATCAATGATTATCACAAATAAATCATTAAATGAACTTTCTCATTGAGGATTATCACATGAGATTTCTCATTGAGAGAATAATACGGTTAATAAGATCAAAGTAATTATCACAATTATGTGATGTTACATTACTTAATTTAATTTCATTGTTTTATTCAAAAGATAAAAATAAACCTATCCATAGAAGTTTCTAAATTTATATTATCAATTTCGCTTTATAAATAAGGTTAATGAATTATTATTCATATTAGTTGTTATTGATTAAAGATGACTTTTTTTTTCAACTTACGAATTTTGGCTTCGATAATTCTATACTTTAAATATTATTGGGAATTATAACTATAGATAAATTGATATTTTGATATTAGACAGCTTCGGTTTTTCATCATCTCCTATTTGACTTTCATTTTAAGAGTCAAATTTTACGCGGGTAGATAAAGTTTGATGATTTTTATATCGAGCTTTTTTAAGTCGGTTCGGATTTTAGATATTCGGTTCATCAATGTCATGTTATCGCGTGATATATTCTAATACTTTTAGCATATTGAGATTTTTATTATAAATTCCAGTATATCGATTAATTTCATCAAATAATCCGCTTTAGGACAAGTTTCAGTTTATCGAATATTCGATATATTTCGCTGCGTATAAAATGATGTAAATTATTACATTAAAAAACTGGCCTTTGAACATTTTATTCCGGAACAGCTCTGGTTCACGTAATTAACGTATAATGAAAAAAGTGAAGCGACTGATTATAGGAAAAAATCTGGGTTGTGAAATACATTAACGTAGAATAATGGACACGGGAATTATTGAGATTGTTAAACAGCTGAAAGAAGTACACTTAAATAAAACTTTCTTTTTTTAAAATAACCAGAAAGCTTAAGAATTAAATAAACATATATCTTTTATTTGATTCAAGTTGAAGGTACAAAACGACACAAATAAATTGACACGTTTCATACTACAAATTGTCGACACTCGACACTGATCTATAATAAATTTGTGAGAACAAAATCGATTTTGATATATATACCAAATTACGAAGCTTTCATTTTAAAGACTTCAATTTCTGCCGGAACAAAAGTACCACTAGGGTATGGGTCTAAAACATTGTTAATATTATTATCATAATAACCCTGATTACGAAAATATATATTTAGGTTACTATGTAAATAAAGAGTATTACCAAAATTAAATCCCTGGGTATTTTGCTCGTAAATTGCATAACTAGCATAACTACCCTGCACACGACTTATTTTCATATATTGAATATCTTCACTATTTTCAAAAGAAAATATAAAACTTTCTGTTGTACTATAATTTTGTCCATTAGCATTAACAAAGTCGAGCGGATTATATCCTCCATAAATTTTTGCTGAGTTTGGATGCTTAACTAATACTAAACATCGACCCTGGCCATTACATTTAGTTCGAAATGTATTAATGTTAAGTCCATCTCGACTACTACGATAAAGAAGATCAAATTTGTATTTGACTGATAAGTCTTTTTCATCTTTTCTTTCAATCCAACTAGTAATTATATTAGCAAGTTTTGGTTTTATAAGATTTGATTCGATGATCTTTTTACGTGGAGTCAAATTTATTGTTTTTGGTTGGACGCTTTTAAAATAGTACTCTTCAATTTCATCATAAATATTATTAGGAATGACAGTTTTGTAAGGACGGATCTTATCAAAATATTCAGCAGGAGAAAATTCTGCAAACCGAATAAGTGGAATAAATGGATTTAAGGTTTTCTTTAACGCATGATAATTTGAATTACTCCACTTGGTTCTATCACCATTTACATTTCCCAAGCCAGGAGTTTGCTTAATACCCCATTTAATTAAACAATCCCAAATGATACTTTCTTCAACTGGAAAATCATCTCGTTTGAGTAAACCATAAAGAATATCTTTATCTAATGAAGGAAATTTCTTTGAAGTAATAAATGGTTGTGGATCCGCACAAATGGATCCAAGGCAATAATCTTGTATTTTTTCGCAGTCCTTAAGTTTAAATACTGTATGAAGAACTTGGACAAAATTTTTCTGAACCCAAGGTGCTTGTTCTTCGATTAAATATTCTTGAACATGGATAAATAATTCTTCAAGAAATAATTCATAGGATGCAACTAGAAGCCCAAGAATATTTTCACCAAGATGGTTTGTTAAATCAAGTTCACCTGTATAAATATACCTTAAAAAAAAAATATTTTTTTAAATTAATAATAATGAAATCATATAATATAGTTTTATGTATCAAGGAAAAAATTAAAAAAATTACTTTAGAACCATTTCAAAAACTGTTGGAGTAATATTTGGTATATTAAAAGTGATCATATTATTCTTTTTTGTGGACTTTTCATCCGAGAGTTCATTTTTAAAGTATGGACAGCGAGCACGTAAAATTACTGAATGTGCTCGAAATTCTTTTACGTATTCATAATCACCGACTTTGATAATAACGTTGAAATCATCGGCATCATTTAATAAGGAAGAAATATCTTTTAAAAGGCCGGAATGAAAAATTGAAGTCATTTTAAGAACGAATAAATAAACAAACAAAAATAAGTTGAAATGGAATAATTTTTTCCGTTGTTATGGCCATTAAATAAATCTTGAAAAAAGTTTCTTGATTTACAGCAATATATGGTTAAAATGGCGGTGATTGTGACTATTTCGATTAAGGAAATAATTATTACGAATTTACGATAATCTGATTATTGTCATTTTTAACCGAAAGCGGCGGTAAATTGTCTTTGATGATCAATGATTTACTGCGCCATTACACAAACAATGTAAATGAGTTTACTAAGCCCATTGAAAGAATATTATTAATTTGTAATAAGGTTTAAATAAAGTTGTGTAAAAGTCATTAATTTCTAATTTTATAATTTATGAAAGAATGTTTCGTAAAAATTAATTCACAATAAAGTCTAAAAATAATTTTATCATTGAAAAAATAACCATATTTTCTTTTTAAGCCGTTGTGATTTTCTATAATTATTTTTGCATAATTTCATTGTTTCATTGTTTTACTGCTTTAAATCGGTATTGAACTCGGTTCAAACCGGTTTTCTAATGATTCATATTATGAAATCCAGTTATGTTTGAAGCAATGCAACCAGGGTTCCCGATATTTATAAAACAAATAATTATAAAATTTGATTTTCAAGTGCTGTTCATTTGGCGTAATATATTCATTTATTGATAAACTAGGAAACGGAGCAATCGGAGCATCCGGAACGCATAATGACAAAATGTGGTCAAACCATAAATAGTTTTATTATATGTATCACTTTCCATAAAAATTAAGATGTTATTATTTAATTAGTTTTCGATTTCATGTAAGCTGTATCTACTTGTTCTTTTATTAAATAATATGTATTTGATATTTTTTTGTGATTGTTAACAAAAACATTATGATGATTTCGCATCTCCAATTTTATTCTTCACTTCAATTTTTAAGTTGTAACGATAATTTTTTATTGATTAAAACAATAATAACTGAAGTTAAATTGAATAAATTAACAAATATTGTTTGAAGAAAGCTGAAATGTTGTTTCTTCATGAATAAAATATGCATATGAAAATCGAATACGTGCTACAGTATAACAGTAATCAATGGCTTGGACAAATAATTATTAAAAAATGCTTTAATTACACAGAATATTGTTTTATAATTATAAATTTCGTATTTAATTTATATTTTAATTTGATTATATACAGTAACTAAAAATTCCAATTTTTAATTAAGGAATTAAGGCAAACTTCGTTAAATTATGAACGAGAAAAAGTGAATATAGGCTGATTATAGAATTGAATTATAATGAGTTTGTTATACAACTGATGAAAGCAAGGTAGTTGTGAGGCACTTAAAATAGAACTCCCCTTCCATAAAGTCTTTACCAAAATAATCAATCAATCAAACACCAGTTAGTTGTACCAATGCTGATTGGTTGACATCTTATCACATGATTTTAATAAAAAGTAAAGTATAATGTAGGCCAGAATTATAGTGTTGACCAACATTAATCGATCTCAAATGACGGTGGTCATTTGTCATTTGAATCATTTGTCATTTGCCAAACATTTATACGTAACTGATGTTAATTAATTACCAGTTGTTAAAATAAAAATGTGGTGAAATTTTTAAAATGTTTCGCACATCGCTAGCAATAAATTTTTTATAGTAAAAAAATCATATTTTGTCTCGATTTTCAAACAAAAATAATCGTTGTAAAATTACAAGAGGAAAACAGAATAAACTAAAATGACCATACATTTATTGAAGTAGCAAACAAAGAAACAAAGATCCATTTCTAAATTATTAATAATGAAATATCAAACAAAATGCTTAAAAATAAGGTATTGAGTAAAATAGGACAGTACGCTAACGCAAATTAGTACGTACGTGTGTTTTTTTTTGTTCGTACGTACATTTACAGCTAATCAATTTTTTAAAACTAGTACGTACGAAAGTTTTAAAATTTTCGTATTAATTTGAGTTTTCGTACAATCGTACGACTTTGCATTCTTGTATTTTTGTGCAACTTCGAATATTGTTTTCAACAAAATATCTTACTAATTATAAAATTAAATGTTAAATTATAAAATTAAAAAAATTCTTTGAAGATAAGCTAATAAATTTTCATTCCTTTAACATATTCAGCTCCACAATAATAAAACTGACCATTAAAATAATAACTAAATTTTATTGGTTTATTTATTAATTTTTTCAATTCATTATAATATTTTATTTGTTCAAATTCAGGATTTAATAGCTCAAATGGATAATCTTTAACATCGGATATATTATAAATATCCATATTTCCAATTATTTTTCTTCTTCAAAGAAGTAAAAAATTAAAAGATATATTTACGATGACAGATTATATTACTCAAATATTGTGTGCAACATATTCATCTCAAAAATTTGATCACATGATGCTACAATGTAAAATATTAGTACGAAAAAATCAAAATTTATTTTTAAAGGTCCGTCTGAGTACGGAAAATTAAAATTTTTTTTTTTTTTGAACGTCCGTACTAATTTGTATTACCGTACAGTACTAATTTACTATATACTCTAAAAATGTCATTTCATAATAAATAATGTGCGTACTATGCATCTATAATAAATAACCAATAATAAATAACCAATAATAAATTAAATAATTATATAGTAATTATTTTGAATACTTCGATTTCTTCTGGAATAAAATTGGTACCTAAATATGGATTTAAAACATTACTAATATTCTCATCATAATATCCATGATTATCAAAATATATTTGTTGACCATTCATATAAAGAGTATTGAGAAAATTAAAACCATCGTTATAATTTTCGTGTAATGTATAATTATTATTCACGCGACTTATTTTCATATTTTGAATGTCTTTGCTATTTTCGAAAGAAAATATAAAACTTTCTGTTGTATTATAATATTGCATGATAGTATTTGTGAAACAAAGTGGATTATATCCTCCATAAATTTTTGTTGAGTTTGAATGTTTAACTAATACTAAACATTGACCTTGTTCATTACATTTAGTTCGAAATGTATTTATGTTAAGTCCATCCTGACTACTACGATAAATCAGTTCAAATTTGTACTTATTTAATAGATCTTTTTTACCTTTTCTTTCAATCCAATTAGTAATTATATTGGCAAGTTTTGGTTTTATAAGATTTGATTCGATGATCTTTTTACGTGGAGTCAAATTCATTGTTTTTGGTTGGACGTTTTTAAAATAGTATTCTTCAATTTCATCATAAATATTAATAGGAATAATAGCTTTATAAGGACGGATCTTATCAAAATATTCAGAAGAAGAAAATTCTGTAAATCGAATAAGCGGAATAAATTGATTTAAAGTTTTCTTTAATGCTTGATAATTTGAATTACTCCATTTGATTCTATCACTATTTTTTTTTCCCAAACCAGGGGTTTGTTTAATACCCCATTTAATTAGATAATCCCAAATGACACCTTCTTCGACAGAAAAATCGTCTCGCTTAAGTAAACCATAGAGAATATTTTTATCTAATGAGCGGAATTTCTTTGAAGTAATAAATGGTTGTGGATTCGCACAAATTGAATCAAGACAATAATCTTGTAGCTTCTTGCATTCCGTAAGTTTAAATGCGATGGGAAGTATAAGATCAAAATTTTCTTGAACCCAAGTTGTTTGTTTTTCGATTAAATATTCTTGAACATGGGTGAATAGTTCTTCAAGGAGTAGTTCATCAGATGCAACTAAAAGATCAAGAATACTTCCAAGTTGATTCGTTAAGTCAAGTTCACCCGTATAAATATATCTTAAAAAAGAAATATTTTTTTTTTAATTAATAATAATGCAACAATTCATCCAATAGTATTTATATATCAAAGAAATAACTTACTTTAGAACCATTTCAAAAACTGTCGGAGTAATATTTGGTTTTGTGAACATGATCATATCATTCTGTTTTGTAATCCATCCATTTGAGAGTGCAGCTTTAAAATATGGACAACGAGCACGTAAAATTACCGAATGTGCACGAAACTCCTTTATATTTTCGTATTTACCAACGTTAATAATAACATTGAAATCATCGGCATCATTTAATAGAGAAGAAATGTCTCTCAGAAAATTGGAATGAAAAATCGACATATTAAAAGTTAAGAACAAATAAATAAATTAAAAATAAGTTATAATAATGGAAGAATTTTTAGTTATGGCTACTTGCTAGTTCTTTTTAAAGATTTTTTTTGTTTTGTAATATATATATGGTTATTAATTAATGTAATTATTTTTGATTATGTTTTTACAAAAATTGATTATTTCCATTTCCAAATAAATGTAACCGAAAATGGTGATTTATCCGCTCTTCAACATAAATCGTTAGATTCATGGTCGATGAATTCCATTGATGAAACTAGTTATGAATCTCGATTAATCCTAATTTAGAAATTTTCTTTTTCTTTTTCTTTTTCTTTATTTAACTCCTCAAAAGTCCGGAGAAAAAAAAAAACAACATTATTTAGTTAATTCATTAAAACTTGTGAAACGTGATGAAACTGACATGTAATTTGGTAGTGGCACAGCTAAGCCTCAACTTTTTTGATTTTGCTTATACGCACTATAATTGAATTTTTTTTTTTTTTATAGTTTGATTTATTTACACTTTCCTAATTTTTTCTTTATATAAAACATATGTAATTATTTTTTTTACAATTTTATTTAATTATAGTATCAATTATTATAGAGGATAAGGCCAATAAGTTAGTATAATTTTTTTTAGTTTTTTTTAATAGATATGAATATTTTTGTTAAAAAAAATTAAATATGAGATAAAAGTATTGTATTGCTTAATAAAGAGAATATATTAAAAGTTTATGTAAATAAAATGAATATGTTTTCTAATATTTTTTAGATTTTTTGTTAATATTTTAATTTTTGTACTTAGGAATTTTTTTTTTGAACGAGATAAATGTTATACATGTTACACAGCGATAAAATTAGTAATAACTACTGTGTAGCATATTTATGACGTAAAGTAGTCGTAAACAATCAGTGTTTTGTATTGGTGATACAGGAAAATTGGGAACATCCGATCGATTTTTTTCTGAAAAAAAGGTGTTTTTTCTGTCAATACTGTAATAAATTTCCATATAACTTGTAATATATTTCACTTTTAGTCATTTTATCGTATGAACTAGAATATTTATAATTAAATCTGTATTCGGCAGATAATTGTTTAAAAACATAATATTTTGAGCAATTTCTTGCAATATTCTTAAATATTTTGTTGTTCTTTTTCTTAAATTCCATGTTCATTGCATAACTTCGTCATATAATATACATTATAATATACATCCTAATTTATATTATTTTGATTATATAAGATAATGGGGATGAACATTTTTGGATAATCACAAAAAGATACGTCAATTATATTCTCACAATAAAAACATTTATAATCATCCTCATTAAAAGAAACAAACTTAATTGGGATAGGACTAGATTTTAATTTTGGAGTCGGGTCAAAAAAATTTCATCATTTATCTTTACAAGTTCCATTTTAGAAAGTCGACATATTTATAGTTTTGAGAATTTCATTGAAAAGTTTTTAGCTCTTTAATCGACAGAAGATTGATAAAAATTTTATTTAACAGGAAAAAAACCCGATCATCTATATTTGAACAACTATACTAAAAGATAATATAAATACAAACACGAAATATAAATTATAAAAAATAAAAAAAAAAGAAAACAAACTTGTGACATCAAATGCAAGACTATAAAGATTTATTTTTTATACCGTCCATTAAGTGTCGGAGAAAATCAAATAAAATAAACGATTCATTTTCAAGTAACAATTGATTCACAACCGTGAGAGTGTATATAATAAAATTATAAATTTCTTCGTCATCTATATTTTTAAAGAAGTTAGGACACAGAAATATATATAAAAGGGTCAGGTTTGAGTTTGCGTATTTTTAAAAAAAAAAATCATGAAAATCTTTCCTTTTTTAGATAATTTTTGATAATACCAGTCAGAATTTTATTTCCTATTATATAGTAACCGACTGACATTATCATAATTCCGGCCCTGAAAAAATGCGTAGTAAAAAATCACCTGACCCCTATATATATTTCTGGGTCCTAAAAAGTTCCCTACAATTCTTAATGAAAGTAATATATTAAGTTTTTGAACATTTATTGTACTGAATTGGTTAAAAATATATACATTCGTTTAACAGTTACTTTAGTAAAGCAATACGATAAACAATTTTGAATCCGGAATTCTAGAGCATTCGTGGAATTCCTGGAATACCTTATAAAATTTATAATCAAAATTCTATAATTAATACGTAATTCGGTAATTATTTGGATCATGAGTTTTGCACAAATTACCGTGCCAATATATATATATATATATATATCGCACGCCTCATGTCAAAAAATTAAGATTCAGATGTAATATAAAAATTTTTGAACCCGTCACGCAGCACAAAATCCTGGTATAAAACTGAATATGTAACAAACGTTATCGCATACTGTACATATATTGGCTGATATTCATACAATAAGTTGTGTTTGAATGATCATTGGAACTCATTCCTAAACTTCTTTGATGAATTATCTGAATCTGACATATAATATTATTCGTAAATAAAAATTTTCGATATTCATACTTTTGTAAAATCTTTTCTCAACACAAATAAATTAAACAAATCTTTTGATCTCATGAACTTCTCATGAACTGGATTTTCTTATCGTATTTAATAAATTATAATTCGCAGAAGTGCTAAATTTTGAGCTCCAGAATTTAATTATTATATAATTTAGAATGATTGTTCACATTCTTCTAATCCTGACCCAAGTTACTGGGTTCTAGCAAATTAATAATTTTTATATTACGTATTTGTGTATTCAGCAGTAAAGTGATTTTGTGAAAAAAAAACGCGAAGTTTATGATACATTGTAAAAGCTAAATTTATTTATAAATAAAATAATTGACAAAATAAAGAATAAAATAAAAGCTATGAATAGTAAAGAATTACAAATAATAAAAAAAAATAATAAAATTTTTTGTAAATTCATACTTAAATTCATCATATTTAATAATTAATGAATAAATTGTTATAGAATTTGTTCTATAAAGATAATAATATTTTACCTTGATCATTTTTTATGCCTAAGCCACAATTAAAACAGTAATGATTACCTGTATATACTGTACTGTAGCATATTTAAAAAATATATTTCAACCACAAAATCTCTTTTTTCCTATTTATTTGGATTAAAAAATTTAAATTTATGAAATAAATAATATAAAATAAATGACCAAATGAAGCAATCATTTACCATCATTTTCAATGTTTAATTCATTAATCTTTCTCTTTCTCAAAGTTGCAGGCACATTTAATGACCCACTAGGATAAATTGCATTCGGATGAATCGTTAAAGATAATAATTAATACACACATACTACGATTATTTAATTACAATTTGAATACCTTTCAGCAGACTCTATATCAAATTCCAGTTCTTTCGAAATGTAAGCTAAAAATTTAAGATGTTCGTTAAAAATATATAATACTTTAAGACAAGTTACACAAAACAAATACCTTGTTCATTGCTGTCAAATAAAGATGAATTGATAGATGAGCATTTAGAAATAAAATAGCTTAATGGTCTACTTGTATAAATGGCTTTTGAGTGAGGCTTTTTGGCAAACTCAGGACCAAGCTTCTTTAAATTTAATAACTCAATTCTTTTTAATTCAGCTTTATCAAATATATCATTGTGTTTTTTTCTGAAGGACCAACTACCAAAGGTATTACGAATATTTTTCGCCAAGGGTCTTTTTTTGGGGTCAGGATCCCAACAACTTTTCATTAAATCCGCATAACATTCTGGAGTATCTTCTGTAATTTCAGGTCGTTCTCCATCAAGAATTTTAAAAATCAGTTTATGATCATGTTCAACATTAGCAAAAGGCTTACAGCCTGTTGTTAGTTCCCACATAATCATGCCTATACTATAAATATCAGATTCTTTAGAAAATGAAGACCCCTTAAATATTTCTGGTGCGATGTAAGGTATTACTCCATATATTTCATTATTTGACGATGTGCTATTTGCGGGCTGTGATAATCCTAGGTCTCCAATTAGCCATTGATGTCTTTCTTTAAATTTAAATTTTTCTTTTATTGAGTTATTGTGAAATAAATCATATAATATATTTCCACTATGAAAATCTCGATGTATGTAATCAGCTTTATGAATAGTTTCAAGTCTAAAATAATATAAATGAATTAGAAATTATAAATAAGCATTATAAAATATATATTAATATAAATACCCTTCTGAAATTTGCCATAAAATAATTAATTTATCTTTATTCCACTTAATATTTACAAAACTCTTTTGTAACCAGTTATGTAAATCTCCTCCCGATGCATATTGCATAACTAACATATATTCACCTAATTTGGGATCTTTCGTAACGCCATGAGTTCTAATAATATGATGTTTAATTTCATAACAATATTGATTTGATTTTAACTAAAAAGTTTTAAATAACAAGGGTTAAATTAAATTATTTTTATACTATAATACGAATATTTAAATAATTACTACCTCATTTAAGAAATATCTGCTGGTATCTTGTGAATTTTTGAATTTTTTTAAAATTACACTTTGCCGATCTAAAGTTCCACGGTATATAATGCCAAATCCTCCTCTTGCTATTTCTTTTACATCCGTAAATTGAGGATATGATATCCATTCTATCAACTTTTCTGATTGAGCATTCTTATAGTTTTGACACAGAGAACGAATAGTTGAATTTATTTCCAATGGAATATAATATTCACTACTTTTTATTTTGTCTGCAAACTCATCTGCTTTAAAATTATTGTATGATTCAGGTAATATATTAGCAAGAAAATCATCTAATTCACTATTTCCACTCAAAATATTTAAATTATCAATAATATATGATACTCTTTGGCATTTTCTACATTGAGATCGAGTTGTCAATCCAAAAATAATATTTGTTGTTAAACAGTATCTACATCCAATATAAAATATAAAACATCCACCGCAATACTTTTGACAGTCTGATGTAATTTTTAATTCTTTTCCACAACCATCACAATGAGGTTTATTGTGCCACCATGGTAAATAAATAATTGGAATAAGTTTTTTAGTAAAGGTTGATTCTATATTTCCATAAGTGATCAAATAACAATATGAACATAATCTGACTTTATGTTTAATAGAAGAGTCTGTTCCTTGATATAAAGATTTCCCACATAGCTTACAATATTTTTCACTTTCCACCACATTAACTTTTAAAATGTCGTATAAATTACGTTCAAAAATCGAAGAAAAACCAAATCCGGATATACTAAAATGATTCGTAGGTATTTGTTTAAACCATAATATTTCTAAGCAATTTTTGCAGCAACCTTGAATATTTTGCGGTTCTTTTGTCCTAATTATTTCGTGTTCACTACATTTTAAGTTCCTTGTGAATATATATACATCCAAATAAATATTATTATCAGTTATATTGGTTAGATAATTCGATAAGCATTTTTTACAATATCTTTGATAACAATAATGCGTCAGAACGTAATACTCTCCACAATTAAAACATTTTGTATCATTATTATTAAAAGAAATAAAATTAATTGGTATAGGATTAGATTTTAGTTTTGGCGTTGGATCAAAAGAATTTTCATCATTCGTATTTGTAAGTTCCATCTTATTATTTTATAGGCAATTATAAAAAATTTGACATATTTATAGTTTTAACCATAATCAGTTTAGAAAATTAGAATTTTCTGTTGATCAACTAGAAATGGATAATTACATTTTCTAAGAATGGTTGCACGGAATTTATAATCGAAGAAATAAACCGGTATCATCCATATTGATTTTAATAAAAAGTAAATTAAAAATACAAACAATAAAGAAAAACGGTAAATTAGAACTTTCGAATTCTAGAGCACTCCGAAAATTCTAAGAATGTAAGTTCTATTTTATTATTTTATATGCAATTATAGGAAACTCGATAGTTTTGTCAAGTTCCATAATCAGTTTGGAAAAATAGAATTTTCTGTTGATCAACTAGAAATTGATAATAAGAATGGTTACACAATCGTAGTGCTTTTCGAATTATGGATCATGAGATTTACATCATAAAATCAGCCTATCACAAAATAAGCTCCTTAAAATTAAGGATAACTTAATAAATAATTCAGTGTCGGCACATGACAAGGTCATATGGCCCCAACCACCCTAGCGTCGCCTGCAAAATATGGTAGCCGGTTCTAATTTGCCGGGTTACATATATTATTGAGAGGTGATAAATAATACGTGACATTTAGTACTTTACGTATAAAAAATTTTTTAAGTCCTCAGAATAATTATAAAATTAAAGAAACGTTAGGGTGTGACATTATGTGACGAATTCCTAACCCTTAATCCCCTTACCCTAATCCTAGTCCTAATCCCCTTACCCTAATCCCAACCCTAATCCTAACCCTAACACTAAAGAACCGGCAAAATAATCCGGCTACCATTTTTTGGAGGCGACGCTATGGTCGTCATATGGCCCCGAAAATATTATCTTTGTCATATGTCTATAATGGCATAACTAAAAAATGATTTTTTTTTTTTAATATATTTAGTTAAATTGACTTCGTAAAAAAAAATGTAAAATAAAATTTTTTTATTTTATATCTGAACCTATTTTATATTACATCTTAAAACTGCTGCTGAATGATAATTTTTCTGAATATATTGGTTGAAAACATTGAAAATCTTTATCTGGGTGCGTCTTCCACTGCTGCAATTTCTAAGAGGTCACCATTTTTGGAGTCAACAACTAGTAATTAACAGCTGCAACGAAAGTTCTTTTTTATTAAATAAAATTCAAATATATGAATATGTTTACACTTGCTGCTAATAAGACAATATTCTAATTACATTATTGAAACGTTCCCTTATAGTGAACCAATAAATTTTTAATTATGAATTTAGAAAAAATAAATTAATACTTTTTTTTTATTAAATATCTTACAAGATTTCCATATTCTTTTTTTAACATTATTATAGTTTCTGTAATTAAGTATTTGTTTTAAATAAATATATTGCGATACATGTGGGATTTAAAGGACGGAACTGTGGCGAGCCGCGAGCTAAAAATCGGTAAAATAGATAGAAATAAATAAAATAAATAACTTATTATAAACGCAAAATTTATATAATTAATCGATTAAGGTTTTTTCGGTCGATTCCATGTAGTTACTCTTCAACTATTAGTTATTATAAAATATAAATCGTTACTAATCTACCGTATCACAGAAAGTTTGTACAACTAGAAGTCAGGCATTTGTAAATTTAAATATTGAGAGCATCATTATTTTCTTGATCAATTACAAATATTTTAACTAACTTTGCACTATGTTCAGGTCTGGTTATTTTACTTCATTTGTCTTAATGCCTAAATCTATATTTTAAATACATTTTTTTCAGTAGTATTTTAATAAACTCTATTATTCAAATTACTTCGTATAACTAATTATAATATTTTTTGAACAAATTTATAATCTAATATTATAAATATTGTATATCATCCTATCCCGTTATTCAAATTCTTTTTTGCAGTGTTACTATATTGTTAACTTGTTATTTTCAATTTATCTATTTATTTTATTATTATTGATAAATTTATCTGACGCGTTATCTAAATGGATGGATGTGGATTGCACTTTTATAATTTCTGTATTATATAAATTTAATTTCTCTCGTAAAGTGATAAATTTGGATACAATAGTTTATATGACTGAATATTACATAATCGTAAATAGCCGCAAATTCTGATTTTTTAAACTTACATCTATAGTCAGACCGATATCCTATGTACCAATACTTGCCTGTACCCGATAAATTTTCTGTCCCGTTTCATAATTAATAAAAACCTCATTATGCCGATATTATATATAGTTTCACGATGTAACAATTGTAAAATGTATCGATACTTTAGTTACACTGATATTAATTCGGGCAAACACTATAAATTTGGCCAGAGTTAACATGAAGGTTTCCATCCAAATCACATGACATTTTAATCTGGAGTTTGCATAATGCTGGCAAGAATTGGATTTTGGCCCGCATTATGATTCATTGGTGACCTATATGTAAACGGAACATAAGTAAAGTCTTGATATATCTGAGTTGGAACCTGGAACGGATTATCATAATCTATATAAATTAATTTACCCTCGATATAACGGATTTTTCGATATAACAGATTTTTGACAAATTTTACTAATGGAACGGATGGTTCCATTATATCGAATTTCACTGTGTACATGATGATGAAGCAAACAAAATCATGCTTTCACTGATATATAATTTCCATAGTAAAACTAAAGAGTTTAATGTAAACTATAATAAATATAAATAGAGTATAAACGGAAGAGTATTACAAAATTAAAGAAAGAAGAAGAGGAACCAAAGAAACCAAAACTTATCTACGTTCAATTGAATTGTAATACTATATAATAAGTTTAAAATAAACTTATACTATTATGCTTTACCACAAATCACTCTATTTAAATAAATAAATTTTTATTGAAATTTGGTTATTTTAATACATTAAAAAACATTCTATACTTATAAATATCATCATTCTTTTACTACTTTAAATGCTTCAATATCTTCAATAATATAATAATAATTACTATTCTTACTAACATTATCTTTATAAAAACCATTTTTATTTTTTAACCATAAAATTTGATCTTTCATAGATAATGCATCATTACCAAAATTAAATCCATAATCACCAAAACCATTATTATAAATAGCATAATTACATGTTATAACACGACTTAATTTCATATTTTCAGTATCATTATTATCTTCAAAAGAAAATATAAAATTATTCAAAGAAGTAATATTCTTATGATTAATCCCTAATCTACGTCTTACATTGTGATAAAATCCAACTGTTGTATAACCTCCTAATATTTTTTTTGTATTTTGACATTTAATTAAAACTAATATTTGTTCTTGTGAATTACATTTATTTTTAAATGAATTATTATTAATTCCATCTTTACTACCTCTATAAATAAGTTCAAATTTATATATTGTATCATTTTTTTTTCGTATTTCTTTTGATTCTTTATTATCTATCCAATTAGATATTATAGATATTAATTTTTTTCTAATAATTTTTGATTCAATAAAACTTTGTTTAATTCTTGGTGTTAAAGTAATAGATTTTGGTAATGTACCTTTAATAAAATATTCTTTAACTTCATTATATATATCATTTGGTATAATAGCCTTGTAAGGTCGAACTTTAACAAAATAATCTGCTGCTGAAATTTCTACAAATCTAATATGAGGAATTAATTGATTCAAAGTTTCCTTTAAAGTTTCATAATTACTATTACTCCACCTATGTTTATCACTTCCTAAACTAGGTATTTGTTCAATTCCCCATTTAATTAAAAAATCAAAAATATCAATTTCTTTCACATTTAAATCATCTCGCTTAATTAAACCATAAAGAATATCTTCATCTAATAATTGGTAATTATTTGAAGTAAAAATTTGTTGTGGACTCATACAAATAGATTCAAGACAATGATCTCGTAATTTTTCACATCCTGAAAGTTTAAATATTTTATGATGAACGTGATGAAAATTGTTTTGAAGCCAGGTTGTTTGTTCCTCAATTAAATAATTTTGAACATGATTAAATAATTCTTCAAGTAATAATTCGTCAGATGCAACTAGAAGATCAAGAATATTTTCAACTTGATATTTTGTTAGGTCAAGTTCCCCCATGTAAATATATCTTTTCAAAAAAAAAAGGTAATTAATTATTAAATTATTATTATATTTGATTATATCATTTATATATAAAAAAAAATAATAAATAACTTACTTTAGTACCATTTCAAAAACTGTTGGATTAATATTCGGTTTACTAAACATAATCATATCATTCTTTCTTATAATCCATTCGGATGAGAGTGCACTTTTAAAGTACGGGCAACGAGCACGTAAAATTATTGAATGTGCTCTAAATTCTTTGGTATTATTGTTTTCACCAACTTGAATAATAACGTTGAAATCATCTGAATTATTTAACATAGATGAAATATCTTTTAAAAGACTGGAATGAAAAATTAAAGTCATTTTGGAGAAGAAATAAGGTTGAACCCGAAAAGGATGATGCGACTGCGTACGTAAATGATGATCATATTTATACTTTATATGCAATACAAGTTGTACGACCCGACCGGCATTACAGCATTAAGAAGTTACAATAAAGACCTGCGACATGCAATGATATTTTGGTTTAACGGGACATAACTTCAATAATAATCTTATTTCAATTTTCGACCAATCAAAATATATAAACGTCACGTTAAAAATGTTTTAATATAATAATATAAATGATGATAATTTTTCCTAAAAAATTAGCTTATTCAGTTATTTTCTTTCCCTTTTTGACATTTACCCTAAAAGCTTCAATTTCTTCAATTATATAAATACCATTATTATTTATATTTTGATAATTACAATCTTTATAAAATATCATTTTGCATATTTAAATCACCACCACCAAAATCAAATCCACAATTACCAAAATAATTATTATAATAGCATTAAAATTTGATTTAACACGAACCTTATTTCATATTTCGAATATCATTTTTTCCTTCAAAAGAAAAAATAAAATCATCATTATTAGCAATAATATATTTATCTTGTTATTCAAAACGTAAATTTTTAGTATTTCTTTTTTTTATAAAATTCAAATAAATTATAACCTCCAAATATTTTTTTTAAAATTTTTACATTTAATTAAAAATTAAAATTGGTTCTTTAAAATTACATATATTATTAAATGAATTATTATTAATTTTATCTCTACTACCTCTCTATAAATTAGTTCAAATTTATATAATAAATCATTTTTATCTCTTTTATAATTAACGTCTTTTTTATTAATCCAATTGATTATTATTGAAATATGTTTTAATTTAATTATTTTTGATATTTTTGATTCAATATAAATTTTTTAAATTCTTGGTGTTAAAATTGTTGATTTTAATAAGATACTTTTAAAATAAAATTTTGTTTTTGGTAAGGTATTTTTTAAATAAAATTCTTCAATTTCTTCGTAAATATTATTAGGAATAATAGCTTTATAAGGTTGAACTTTATCATAAAAATTTTTAGAAGAAATTTCTACAAATCGAATAAGAGGAATAAATTGTTTTAAAGTTTCTTTTAATGATTCATAATCTTCATTATTCCATTTAGTTTTATCACTTCCTAAATCAGGGGTTTGTTCAATACCTCATTTAATTAAACAATCCCAAGCGACAATTTCTTCGATCTGCAAATCATCTCGTTTAAGTAAAGCAAAAATGATATCCCTTATCTAATGACGGTAAATTTTTTGAAGAAATCAATGGGTTTGGATCTTTACAGATAGATTCACAACAATAATCTCGTAATTTCTTCGTAATTTCTCGCAACTAGTGAGTTGAAACACTTTGTGAAGAACAAGAACATAATTTTCTTGAATCCAACTAGTTTGGTTTTCGATTAAATATTCTTGAACATGATTGAGTAATTATTCAAGAAGTAATTCATCAGAAGCGATTATAAGTTCAAGAATATTTTTACCTTGATATTTCGTTAAATCAAGTTCACCTGTATAAATATATCTTAAAAATAAGAAATAATTATAAATTAATTAATAATCAAAATCAATTGAAATATTTTAAAAAGTTAACTTACTTTAGAATCATTTCAAAAACAACTGAATTGGAGTGATATTTGTTTTATTAAATATAATCATATCATTCTTTTTTGTAATCTATTCAGTTGAGAAAGCTCTTTTAAAATAATGTGAACGAGCACGTACTAAAATTACTGAATTTTTTTTGTATTTTTGTTTCACAAACTCGAATGATAGCGTCAAAATCATCGGCATCATTTAATATTTTAGATAAACCTTTTAGAAGTTTCGAATGGAAAATTAAAGCCATTTTTTTTAAAAAAAAAGGTTAAAAACGAAAGTGGAAATAATAAATAGGACTACTACTTTAATAGGATCATACTAATTTAGTTTACGTGACACAATTTATATTACAATGATTGTGGCGTTCTCTTATCATTTCGTACGTTGTAATACCTTCCATTTAAATATCATATATGATATCATATAATCAGCCAAGAATAAAAATAATAGGTTTATACTTTGAATTACAAAAAGAAAGAAATGAATGAAAAATAAAAATGTAAATAATGTAATTTTACTGCGCAAATAAATTTTCTAGAAATTAAATACAAACCCCAATAAAATTAATGAGAATATTGATAATAATTTCGAAGCTTATTTTATTTTCACCAGTAGTAATATTTTTTTTTTTCAAATTACCGGTGTATATACTCAATATATTACCTATCGAAGATCACGTGATATATTTCAAACAATTTCACCCATTTTTAAAAAATAGTCGTTACTAGTAACAAACTGGTACAACAAAATTCTTAACAAAATAATTTAATTATTTTAGTTACATGAAATGTAGTTCCATTTATTACATGGTTTCCTTATGTAATCCATAAAAAACGATGAAATGATAAAATTATTTTTACTTAAATTTGTTAATAATTTTAGCTAATTTTTTAATTTAAGAATTACAAAAAAAAAAAAAAATTCCTTTGTACCCTATTGCTGCTTAAGGTTTAGAAATGTCATGAACCTCCGTCCGCTAATATTTGCTAATGCTGGTGCGGTGATTTTACACATTTACATTTGACATTTGACGACTAATAACGAAAAAAACGCAACCATATTTCTTTAAAGGATTTTATTTATAAATACGAGATGAGTATATATGCTGTCTCTTATACACATCTAGATGTGTATAAGAGACAGCGATTTTATTTATAAATACGAGATGAGTATATATGTTTGTTAGATATTAGACAAAACAATGTCTTAAAATTTTAACAATCCTTTCCTGATACACTGAATACTTCAATTTCCTCAATATTAGATAAATGTTTTTCACCGAAAATGTTCCTATAATATCTATTATCATACCCAACAGCAAGACGTTGCCCATTAGTAACATATAACATATTTCCAAAATTAAAGAAACAATCATAAAAGGGACTATCATATATGGAACAAGCTATATTAGTTACCCTGCCAATTTTCATATTATACATATCTTGATCATTTCCAAAAGAAAAGACAAAACTTTCTGTTGAAGATAGCCACTGATTTCTTCCCGTATATCCAATTGGATTATAACCACCATAGATATTCTTTGTGTGAGTTCTTACTAATACTACAAATGGTCCTTGTCCAACACATTTGTTATAAAATGTTCCGCTATCAAATCTATCACGACTCATCAAGTAAATTAGATTGAATACATATTTATCATTATTTAAATTAGTTGCTATATCACTTCCATCAATCCAATCAGAAAGAATATTTGCGAGCCCTGGTTTAATGATTGTTGACGTTAATGATCCTGATTTTCTTGTACGAGGTGGTAAAGTCGTAGTTATTGGTAAAGCTTTTTTATAATAGAATTTTTCTAATTCTTCATAAATATGATTAGGAATAACATATTTATAAGGACGAACTTTATCAAAAAAATCATCAGAAGAAATTTCCACAAACCGAATGAGAGGAATAAATTGGATCAAAGTTTTCTTTAATGCTTTATAATTTTCTTTATTCCATTTGGTTCTATCATTATTATTACTTCCCAAACCAGGTGTTTGTTCAATACCCCATTTAATTAAACAATTCCAAGCGTCAATTTCTCTAATTTGTAAGTCATCCCATTTAAGTAAACCAAAAAGGATATCCTTATCTAACAAAGGAAACATTTTTGAAGAGATAAATGGTTCTGGATTTTCACAGATAGATTTAAGACAATAATCTTGTAATTTCTTATAACTAGGGCGTTGAAATACAGTATTGAGAACAAGAACAGAATAATTTTGAACCCAAATAGTTTGTTTTTCGATTAAATAATCTTGAATACGGTCGAATAATTCGTCGAAAAGTAATTCATCAGATGAAACTAATAAACCAAGAATATCTTCACCCGATTGTTTAGTCAAATCAAGTTCACCAGTATAAATGTATCTTAATAAATCATAAATCCATATTGTAAGATTTTTTAAAAATTTAAACTTATATCATTTAATTTAAAAATCTTACTTTAAAATCATGTCAAAAACTTTCGGAGTGATATTTGGCTTGTTATATACAATCATGTTATTTTTCTTTGAAATCCAATCGGAAGAAAAGGCAATTTTAAAATAAGCAGAACGAGCACGTAAAATCACTGAATGAGCACGAAATTCTCTCATATTTTTGTTTTCACCAACTTGAATAATAACGTCATAATCATCAGCATCTTTTAATATTGATAAAAGATCTTTTGAGAGACCTGAATGGAATACTAAAGTCATTTTTATTAAAGAAAAAAAATTATGAATTTTTTTTATCAATATTTAGAAAACATCGAGTATATATATAGTAAACATGTTGTGTATGTATGTTGTGTATGGTTAAACATGTAGTGTGTGTGGTTTTATATCTTGTAGTGTATGATTATTGGTTAAATATCACGCTTGTACTACTAACATCCCGTACTAAATATATAATTCATACATGTTATCGTAACACCCTGTTTAACCATACATTACATACTTAGCCACATTTTCCGTGGAAGGTTCATTTTTACGGAGTTTACAGAAATAACGGATAAACTTTTTTATATATTGCGCCTAATAGTAAACTAATTTATTATTGTTATCTGATATTGTTATTTGAATTGTCTAAAATTCTTAGAGCTCTTCAATATTCCAATTAAATTACACAAAAAAATTGTTGTAAATTTCTTAATATATAAATAAAAAGGACTCTTTAAATGGTTTCGCTTATTCTTTTGTTAATTTTAATTATAAATTAAGAAATATTGTAATAAATACTTTATGTCTAGAATTTGTCCAGGATTTTTTTATTTCCAGAAAATTGGACAAATTCTTGGATATAAAATAACGCGTGACAGATTTGAATTTTTTTTTCCTCTAGATCATTTTTTCCAGAATATTAGAAAAGTTTCCAGAAATTAATGGTGGGATAGGGGTACATGAAATTTATAATAAACTAATGCGGGAAATTTAAAAATGGTAATTAAAAATTATAATAACTCATAATAATTTTGTCAAATTTTGTCAAATTTTATAAATTTTATTTAAATTTCAGATAACAATGAAATAATGAATATTATCGCACGGCCCTATAGGATCATGCTGATTTTGCTTGACCAATATTTTCATATATTGCCGATCACCATACAATATTAAGCATCAAATAGTTTATTTTTGTACAATATTAAGCATCAAATAGTTTATTTTTGTACAATATTAAGCATCAAATAGTTTATTTCCGTACAATATTGATAACAGTAATATAATAATTAAATGGGGAACATTTACATCATTTACTTGTCCGAAATATTAATTTTTAAATTTACCCGTTGTAAAACTTCAAGTTCACCAAATTATTAGTATTCATAGTAATTTCTAGATTAGTATTGTTAGGATTAATTTCTTGTAATGGTTTATGTAAATCTTTCAAATTATTCGTATTTGATATTTCACAATTAGAGGTAAAAGCTAAATTAAAAAATATTAATTAAAATATACTAAATAAAGAAAACGAAACCAAAAAACTTCAATAATGTTTTTAACCTTCTTTAGCTGTAACAAATCCTTTATTCTTTTTCATCTTATAATTGTTATCAATATCAAATGTATTAGCGTCAGATTCCTCTAAATAAAAAATTTAAATCAATTTATACTTTTCATTAACATAATGATAAAATATTTGGTTTATTACATACCTTGTTTTCTTTTAGTACATTGAATGTTATCTACCAAATTATTAATCATTCCAATTTGTTCTTGTTCTCTTGGTAATTCATATGAATCTAAACTTTCTACATTTTTATGTCGAGTTGCTAATTTCATTGAATCTCTTGAAAAACCCAATTTTTGAAGCCCTTGTACAAGTGTTTTATGTCCAGTATGGTTTGTAATTTTTCGGTTAGTGCAATCAATACCACACATTTTACATATTTCATTCATAAAGCTTTTTAATCGGTTTTGTCCAACATGAATTCTCTCATACCAGCATCCTGTATATAAAGCTAATGATATAAATTAATGGATTAATAAATAAACTAAATAAACAGATTAATGAAATAAATAATAACATTAAATTTACCATCTGGTTCGTCACATTCTTGAAGATAAAAATTTGGCTCAGCCACTTGAGGACGGTAGGACAAATATTTTCATAAACTCCAATTATATCTGGATTATTTGGTAAGATAAGTTTATCAGCCTTTCCACGATTTCCAATTTCCACTCGCTGATTTGTCTTGGATCGATATATAAGTATATCAAAACCTCCATCTTCACGTTTTTTAAAATTTTCAGCCATTAAATAAAAATGTTCTCCTCCATGTAAGCCTAATAATATTGCATTGTAAAAAAAAACTTTTTTAAGTAGTGATTGTGGTGTAGATCCATCCATTAAAGAATGGTTTAAAATATTTTGAACTTCTTCGTTAGACAATCCATTAGAACCATTTTTTTCTCCATATCCTAAATCTGTCAAATATTTAATTTTCCCTGAATAAACTTGCCAGAATTGCTTATATATTTTGTTATCATATAAATTGCAATTTGATATGACTGAATTTTGATTTAAATAACGATAAATTGCTGAAACAGCCGCTTTAATTGAAGAAATGGAATATTCATTGCCATTTTGCTGTTTCATGGCTGCTAAATATTGTGCTAATTGAGAATCCAACACTTTTGTTTCGGATATCTCCTCTAATTTTTTTTCATAATTATTTTTAGCACGAAATAATTCTACAGCACGTATCCAATTATTGGTAGAATATTCCGTATTCTTAACTTTTCCAATTTCACAGAAGAAGTTCACATTTTTTTCTAAATTATCACTTGAAGCCTTATTCAAAAATCAAAATTATTATGAATATTATTAAACATTTTCTATCTAATATACAACTTACTAAAGTTTTTTCATAAATTCTGTTATTTTCACGAGGCATAATGACAAAAAAGAAATTTATTTATAAAGAAAAAAAAAGAACTGGGAAGAAAAAAAAGCTTATAATTAAATAGACTTTTAATAAACTTTATAAAGAGCATGATCTGCATCAGCCGTACGATAATATAGATATTGTACGGTGGTATTTACATTGGTTAACGTCACTTCGTGACGTTAACCAATATAAATACAACACCGTACAATATCCATTAATTAACATATGATTTTAGTTACAATTGAAGAAAAGAAAGAAATAAAAATTATAAAAAATAAAGTATAACAGTATTTTTTTTTGTAAATAATTTTATTTATTGTTCATAGAAATATTTAAAGGTATGACATTTATTTCTTTTCATTAAATTATTGAATTATGTTCTAACTACATTGAATACTATTATTAATGTTAATTATTATATACAACATAAATATTTTATATACAATATATGTCCAAAGCTGATTCAACTAGTAATACCGATCGCTTACCCTTTGTGAAAAAGTATTTAATTCTAGAGAAACTACGTCGCTAGGTTAAATCCAATACCACATTGGGAAATAAAAAAAAACATAAAAAACCAAATCTTCCACCAGGTCGTATTTTTCTTTCACCCTATGGTATCACGCAAATACTGTCATGCATGAAATAATGTTCGTGTTGAAGAGTCCACGGTATTGTTTTATTGTTGAATAGTGTACAGATACATCCGACCTTGACGCCATATTTTATTTGATGGAGTTCGTGGATGTCGAGGGCTTGTTGGTCCATTGTCAGATGATGGCGGGTGTTTGACGTTTCAAAAATACATCTAATTATGTAAGGAAATTAGCATCTTCAGTTGACCAAGAAAATCTATAATTTCCTAGGTATAAAAAGTGTTAGATCTGTGACCATAACAGAAAGAGGAAGAGGTTGTAATGGTGGTACGGGTGCATCATACGGATCACGAGGATTCGGTTAAGTTCGTATATCCCTGTTTGTAATGAATTATGTCTGCATCATCAAAAGCTAATTGTTGTGCTGTATGTTCTTGTTGTATATCGCGTTTACGCTGTTTTCTGAATTTTTTGTTTATTCTACAAGGAGCATTTTTACGTTTCGCTTATATCTACATCATTCTTCAGACAAGAGAGGAAAATTAGGATAAACAAAATTTTGACATTATTCTTTTTATATGGAATTGTATTCAGTGTATGCAGTTTCGGGGTCTGACGATATTTTTTTTTTCTAAAAAAAAAAAAAATTCAGTGTACGGTATATAGGTATCTAAGATCACGTGATATTTTCAAAATACTTTCACCTATTTTCAAAAAATAGCCGCTATTAATAAGAAATCATCACAACAAAATTCCTAACAAAGTAACTTGATTATTTTAATTACATGAAATGTAGTTTCGGTTACATGATTTCTCTATGTAATCCAAAAAAACGATGAAATGATAAATTATTTTTACTTGGAATAAAATTTTACTATTTACAAATGGATTGTATTTAGGTAGCTAAAATTATTAACAAATTTAAGAATTACAAAATTAATATTACTTAGTATATAACTCTTTTATACCCTATTTAATATACGGTGACAGTGCAATAAATTACAAAGCATATTTACTGCGTGATGACGCGGTATCATTTTGAGTTACTTATTTATTATTTCTTAATCAAACTAAAATTAAATATACTTTTGATATTTAAGGAATTTAATATGAAATCATAAGTCAAACCTTTCAGCTCACAATCCCGAAAATCATAATCCCAAAAATTCAAAATCGACATTCATTATTCCGATACTCATTATTCCGACATTTATTATCATCCTGACAATTATTATAATTCAACGTCGGTGATGTTGTGAAGCTGGAAGAAAGGTATTACATATGCTAGAATTAAGGCAACGGTTAATATTACACATTTTTTAATTTGATTTGTTTCAACCAATGGACTACACCGACTCTGTTTCAGGAATGACATCTTCACCGACAATCATTTCACTGACAAACGTTTCACCGACGCAAATATCGTTCTTATACGTGTACGACATACTATCTTATACGACCTATATTATGTGACATATACGTCGTATAAGAACATAGCACCTGATCGTATAAGAACGATACATTTGCTTCACCGACATACGTTTCACCGACAGGGTTATTTCACCGACAAACGTTTCACCGACATATATAAAATTAAATATACAATATCTTTATATGAAATAGGGAATTTTTTTGTTAGTAACACGTATTCAGAGTTAGGATTTAATAAAATACAAAAAAACTACTACTATAGATTTCCTTAGGGGAATAGCACATACTTTTCATAATAGTTTATTTTTTTTCAAAAATGTATTAATGTTTTGTTGTGATGATTCATATACAGTGTATATATATATATATATATTTGTTAGCAACGCGCATTTCTTTTATTATTTTAATGAAATTTATAATAACATATAAAAAAAATAAAAAAAATACAATAGATATAACTATATGTCATTCTATCTACTAACGGAAGTAAGTATCAATACTTATTAGATCTAAACTAAATATCCAAAAAAGTTTTTGTAATAAAATATCTCATATTCAATATTTATTTTCTATGTCGGTGAAATGATTGTCGGTGAAATGAACCGGACCCATTATGGGTGTCTGAATTTTTGGGTGATCCCGGTAAAAGTACTGTACTGTACATTCTTTAAAAAAAGTTTGTATATTATTTTTACAAATTTTTGTTACAGAATGTGAGATTTGAGAATGTGAGATACACATTTATTCTTATAATAATATTACGTTTATAAAATAACAATATAAAAATAAAAAAAAAAGAACGGCTCGCTAATTAAAGAAAATAAATTTAAAAAAAACGTAGCCATATTTTTTTTAAAGGAATTTATTTAGAGTTGTGACGGATACGCGTGTTTGTTAAATTATAAAAATTGTGCTTTCAAATAAAATATAAAATTATAAATAGAATTATTGTCCGGAGCGAAGCGAAGGACAACGTATGTCTACGCACTATGAAAAAAAAATCGAGCATGTGAATTTCTCTGTCTGCCACGTGGTCGTCACCCAATGAAATCGCAAAATTTTAGTTTTTTGCTCCGGACCTACGACGGTTCCCGTTTCCTAGTTTTGGATTACACTGAATACTTCAATTTCTTCAATAGTAGGTGATTGACTTCCACCGAAAATATTTACATAATGACTATTATTATACCCAATATAAAGTTTTTGTTCATCGATAAATAAAATACCTCCAAAATTAAAGAAACTATCATAATTGCAATAATCATATACAGAATAGGTCGAATTAGTTACCCTGCCAATTTTCATATTAAATATATCTTGATCATTTTCAAAAGAAAAGACAAAACATTCTGCTGAAGATAACCACCGATCTCTTCCCGCATATCCAATTGGATTATAACCACCATAAATTTTCTTTGATTGAACTCTTATCAATATTACAAATGGTCCTTGTCCATTACATCTATTATAAAATGTTTCGCTATTAAATCCATCACGACTCATCAAGTAAATTAGATTGTACCTATATCTATTATTATCAATAATAGTTGCAAAATCATTTCTATCAATCCAATTAGAAATAATATTCGCAAGTTTTGGTTTGATGATCGTTGACGTTAATAATTCTAATTTTCTTATACGAGGTGGTAATATTGTATTGCTTGGTAGAGTATTTGTATAATAAAATTCAGCAATTTCTTCATAAATATGATGAGGAAAAACAGCTTTGTAAGGTCGAACTTTATAATAGAAATCTTTAGAAGAAATTTCAACAAAGCGTATGAGAGGAATAAATTGATTTAAAGTTTCTTTTAATGAATCATAATCTTCATTATTCCAGTTAGTTCTATCATTATTCTTACTTTTCAAACCAGGTGTTTGTTCAATACCCCATTTAATTAAACAATCCCAAATAGCAATTTCTTCAATTTGCAAGTCATTCCGTTTAAGTAAACCAAAAAGGATATCCCTATCTAACGAAGGAAATGTCGTTGAAAAGATAAATGGTTCTGGATCTTCACAGATAGATTCAAGACAATAATCTTGCAATTTCTTGCAACTAGGAAGTTTAAATACAGTATGGAGAACAAAAACAAAATTCATTTGAACCCAAATAGTATGTTTTTCGATTAAATAATCTTGGATGTAGTCGAACAATTCATCGATAAGTAATTCATCACATGAAATTAATAAGCTAAGAATAATTTCAGCCGATTGTTTAGTCAAATCAAGTTCACCAGTATAAATATATCTTAATAAATAATAAAATCATATTGTAAGATTTTTTTTAAAAAACAAAAAAATTTAAACTTCAATTTAATTTAAAAAGTGTTGCTTACTTTAAAATTATGTCAAAAACTGTCGGAGTGATATTTGGTTTATTAAATATAATCATGTCATTTTTCTTTGTAATCCAATCTGCAGAAAAGGCGCTTTTAAAATAAGGAGAACGAGCACGTAAAATCACTGAATGAGCACGAAATTCTTTCGTATTTCGGTTTTCACCAACTTGAATAATAACGTTATAATCATCAGCATCATTTAATATTGACGAAAGATCTTTTGAGAGACCTGAATGGAATATTAAAGTCATTTTTACTAAAGAAAAAGTTATAAAAATTTTTTATCAATATTAAGAAAATATGAAAGAAATATAATAATAATATCCCGTATAGAATAATATCCCGTAAGACTATTATAAAACTATTTATGAAAAAAATTTTTCTTGAATATGAAACGGTCAATCAGTTAATATAATATATTTTTTAGAAATTATTTGGTTACACTACATTTATTTGTGAATCTTAATTTAGTTAATTACCGGTCTTAAAATTAACCGGTTATTTCGGGCCGAATTACAGCTGTTTTCATAAGACCTAGACAAAATAATTTTTTGAACCCGACCGCCGACCCGCCGATCTGGTATTTTTAGCTGGGCACATGATCCAGATTTGATAGTTTGATTTGTAAAATAAATAACAACTGAACTGGATCGGCGGGTTAGCGGTCGGGTTCAAAAATTTATTTTGTCCCAGGTCTTATGAAAACAGCTGCCAGAATTTTATAACCGATACCGATCTCTATCAAAATTGTTGTTGATTGGTTAATTGATTAATATGATGTAATTGTTGGAGCTTTGATGTAAATGATTTTACTAAACCAATTAACGGGAATAAGATATATGAGTCTATGAGAAATATGAATGAGTTATTAGTTTTTCTTTTAATGGTTTAGTTGTTAAAAATATTTAATACGTTATGATGAATAATTTAAATGGTTCATTATTTTTTCATGGTTCCATTTATAATCCTGTGTATTAACACTAAATTATTGACTACTGATCATTTAAAAATATTGCATTTAATAGTAAACTAATTTATTAATAATGTCGTTATTAATTGAATTGTCTAAGTTCTTGCTTTCAATATTTTATTTAAATTAATGTTTCTTTGTTATGCTTTTCAAAATCAACTTTCATAATAACTTTAGGATTCTATAATAATTAAAAGTCATCCATTCTAATATGAAATAATCGTCACTTTCTGTCGATTAGAAATATGAGAATTAATCACCGCAGTATTCCTAATAACCTAACTATAACTCAGTTATTGCTGGAGGGGATATCAGTCTTCAACCGATATGATCTCTCTTCTCTCACTCAATAATAACTATCTAATATTATATAGTATAGCTTTATATTTACTCTTCGCTTGGTAATAAAGAGTTATGCGATCAGATGGTGTTATTGTCATACATCAGAGAAACTAAATGTGAAATGCGAGGTATGTCAAGACACAAAAAGATAAATATTGAAGTTTTCATTTTCTTATTATAGTGTTGCGATCCGTTGATCCGTCATTCGGATGGTTATCCGGAAATAACGGATCGGTCATCCGGATTTTTATATTGAAATTCATCCGGATGGTCATCCGGATCATCCATTTATTTCGGACCGGGATTAAGCGGATGACGAATCCATCTGGATCGTAACACTATGACTTAATATATAAATAAAAAGGGCTCTAGAAGTGGGTTTGCTTATTTCTTTAATTTAATTGTGAAAACTACTACTAATACATTTCGAGGAATTATTTATGAAATTCTCTTAAATGGCTTTTGAGCTTATTTGTTCAGAAATTCTTTTTTAAATGTGATTGACATACTGTACGCTTAGGTTACGATGTTATACAAATTGGTGATATTAGTTGTCTAAAAAGAGGATACCAGAATTACGAAAAATTTTTTCCGGAATTACGGCATTAAGAAGTAACCATGTGACAATTAGGACTATGATAAATAGGATTTCGCATAGCGAAAAATTGTGTCCCCAGAATACAGAATATTTAGTAAAAATAAAAGGCGGACGCCGTGCGAATAATATTTTTACTATGATCACGTGATTTTCCGCTTTAGACGTCCCCTAAAAAAAGTAACAATCAAAAATTTTATATTGTATGAGCTTATTGTACGATATCATCATGAAGTCATGAAATCTTTTCATTATTCCGGCCTTTAAAAGCGATATATTATTCAATTACAAGAAGTGTAACAATCGCAAAGTTAATATCTATCTAATTAAAAAAATTGTGTCATATTTAGATTACCCTGTATAAATAATTCGAATTGTGTAACATTGAAAAGTGTGATATTCTTGCTATTTCGTATTTATCATATCATAATTAACTGACTACGATAACCAATCTTTAAACTAATACATTTCCAGTTAATTAAAATTTTACTGGATTTTTTTTTATTCTGATGGATTAATACTAACAAAAAAATATATAATTTTTCTTATTAATTGCATTTATTTGCGGTCATTTCCGCTCTCTTAGTTACCACGAACCACTCATTTCTATAATAATAATTTTTTTTTATTTTTGTTTTTACCGTAAAAACCGAAACTACCTTTTTAGTCTTTTTCTTATTCTTTTTTTTTGTTTTATTTTTATTGGATTTTTTTAGGGGATTTTTTTTTAATCGGAATTTATCAAAATTTTTGGAATTTTTTTTAACCCAAAAAATATAGTTTATTCTTTTTTTTTTTGGTTTGAATCAAGACTATAATGAGATTGTTTATTAAATCTATAATAAATTTTATAACTATATAACTAAAAAAACTATATAACTAAAAAAATTTGTCTGACGTTTGGATTAGTCTCTGCATAAATAATTTGAATTGTGTAACTTCTATTTATCCGTGTAACTAATACAATTTCAGTTAATGAAATTTTTACCTTAATCGGATTTTTTTTTTTGATTATTAGAAAAATTTGTTTTTTCTCATTCTTTTCCCGTTTAGGTTTAATTTTTTTTCCCAAACTGAAAAATATTTTTTCTCGAATTATTTTCCTTTTTTTTTCAGAATTTTTTTC